AATCATAGAACTTATCTTCTACATGACAACATCTAGCCTTCACCCATTTTTGCCTAGTAGTTCACCACTCTACCCTTTTCAGATGACATTAACAAGCTTCTAATCTCCCTGTTATGAACTACATTCCCAGTCTTATTCAAAACAACTGCTGTCTAACCATGCTTTCTTAATCTTCAACTTGTTATGTTGTGGGAGTTTTTTTTGTTTTTTTGTTGTGCCCAAGTTTAAGACTATATCTATTCTTACTGAATTTTATCTTATGAGATTTAGGCCAATATTCTAGCCTGTCAAGTTCCTTTTGGATTCTAACTATCCATCCCTTTGGTGTCATCCACAAATTTGATGAATAAATCACCTGTGCCTTTATCCAAATCAATGATAAAAATGCTAAACAGAAGGAGGCGAAGCACTGATAGATCCCTAGGGTACTCCACTGTAGCTCTAGCCATTTGGACACTGGAACATCAACACCCACTCTTTGAATACAGCCATCAACCAGTTCTGAATCCATCTAACTGTATGAACATTGATTTGCTATCATTCCAAGAACTGTGTGGTGCTTGAAAAAATCACACAACTAAGCTAAATAAGTATACTATGAATTTTTGTTATCTAACTTCAAATGGACCTTCATTGAAGCAAAGCAATCCTTTTTTCTCTCCCTAATTTATTCCTTATCTCACTCCTTATAGAAGCTATTCCAAATATTCTCTTTTCAATTCAAGCATCCCATTCCTGTCCTTTCCCCCATGCTCTCACCTAAGGACCCTAATTCTTATCTTACCAAGAAAACAGAATATTCATCAGGAGCCTCCTCTTCTTTCCTTCTCTTCTTCATCTGAACTCTCTTGACATCAACCCCTACTCTCTCCTTTTCTCCAGTTTCTGATAATGAAGTGACCCTTCTCCTTGTTAAGACCAACTCACTCTACAATCCAGGGCAGTTAGGTGGTTCAGTGGATCAAGCTCTGAGCCTGGAATCAGGAAGACCTGAGTTCAAATACAGTCTCAGACACTTCTTAGCTTATGCCCCTGAGCAAGTCATTTAACCCTGTTTGCCTCAGTTTCCTCATCTGTAAAATGAGCTGGAGAAAGAAATGGCAAAACTACTCCAGTATCTTTGCCAAGAAAACCCCAAATGAGGTCATGAAGAGTCAGACAGGACTGAACAACTACAGTCCAATAGCACTGGCCTCCTTGCTGTTCATCAAACATGACACTCCATCTCCTAACTCTGGACATTTTCACTGGTTTGTCTCTTCTGCCTAGAATGCTCTTGCTCCTTATCTCCATCTCCTGGATTCCATGGCTGCTTCTTTCAGGTACCAGTCGCACCGCCATCACTTCTACAAGAATCCCTGCAGGCACCTACACAAAAATTGACCATGTACTAGGGCATAAAAATTCTCACAATCCAATGCAGAAAGGCAGAAATATTAAATGCACCCTTTTCAGATCATGATGCAATAAAAATTACATGTAATAAAGGACCATGGAAAGATAGTCTAAAAATTAATTGGAAACTAAATAATCTAATCCTAAAGAATGAATGAGTCAAACAACAAATCATAGAAACAATCAATAACTTTATCCAAGAGAATGACAATGATGAGACAACATACCAAAACTTATGGGATGCAGCAAAAGTGGTTCTTATGGGAAGTTGTATATCTCTCAATGCTTACATGAATAAAATAGAGAAAGAAGAGATCAACAAATTGGGTATGCAACTAAAAAAGCTAGAAAAAGAACAAATTCAAAATTCCCCAGTTAAATACCAAATTAGAAATTCTGAAAACCAAAGGAGAGAGTAATAAAATTGAAATTAAGAAAGCTATTGAACTATTAAATAAAACTAAGAGCTGGCTTTATGAAAAAAAAAAAACCAATAAAATAGGTAAACCTTTGGTTAATTTAATTTTAAAAAAAAGAAAGAATTACCAACTTACCAAATTACCAACATCAAAAATGAAAAGAGTGAATTCACTACCAATGAAGAGGAAAAATTACAACAATAATTAGGAGCTATTTTGCCCAACTATGTCAATAAATTTGACAATCTTAGTGAAATGGATGCATATTTACAAAAATATAAATTGCCCAGATTAAGGGATGAGGAAACAAAATACTTACATAACCCCATTTCAGAAAAAGAAATTGAACAAGCCCTCAATGAATTCCTTAAGAAAAAATCTCCAGGATTTACAAGTGAATTCTATCAAACATTTAAAGAATGATTAATTCCAATACTACATAAACTATTTGGGAAAATAGGTGAAGAATGAGTCCTATCAAATTCCTTTTATGTTACAAATATGGTGCTGATACCTAAACCAGGAAGAGCCAAAACAGAGAAAGAAAATTATAGACCAATTTCCCCTAATGAATATAGATGCAAAAATTTATAATAAAATATTAGCAAAGCAATTACAGCAACTAATCTTGAGGATAATACACTATAATCAAGTCGGATTTATAGCAGGAATGCAGGACTGGTTCAATATTAGGAAAACTATCAGCATAATTGATTATATTAACAACAAAACTAACAGAAATCATATGATTATCTCAATAGATGCAGAAAAAGCTTTTGACAAAATACAACATCCATTCCTATTAAAATACTAAAGAGCATAGGAATAAATGGAGTCTTGCTTAAAACAATAGGTAGCCATCTATTTAAAACCATCAGCAAGCATTATATGTAATGGGGATAAGCTAGAAGCATTTCCTATAAGATCGAGGGTGAAACAAGGATGTCCATTATCACCACTGTTATTCAATATTGTACTAGAAATGTTAGCTTTAGCAATAAGAGAAGAAAAAGAAATTGAAGGAATTAGAATAGGCAAAGAAGAAACAAAGCTATTACTCTTTATAGATGATATGTTACTTAGAGAATCCTAGAGAATCAACTAATGAACTAATTGAAATAATGAACAACTTTAGCAAAGTTGCAGGATATAAAATAAACCCACACAAATCATCAGCATTTCTACATATCACTAACAAAGCTCAACAGTAAGAGATAGAGAAATTCCATTTGAAATTACTGTAGACATTATAAAATATTTGGGAATCTACCTGCCAAAACAAAACCAGGAACTATGTGAACACAATTACAAAACACTTTTCACACAAATAAAGTCAGATCTAAATAACTGGAAAAATATCAGTTGCTCATGGGTAGGCTGAGCTAATATAATAAAAATGACAATTCTACCTAAATTAATTTACTTATTCAGTGCCATACCAATCAATCTACCAGAAAATTATTTTATAGAGCTAGAAAAAATGATAACAAAATTCATCTGGAAGAACAAAAGATCCAGAATATCAAGGGAACTAATGAAAAGAAATACAAGGGAAGGTGGCCTAGCTGTAACAGATCTTAATTGTATTATAAAGCAGCAATCATCAAAACTACTTTGTACTGGCTAAGAAACAGAGTGGTGGATCAGTGGACTAGGTTAGGTATGCAATTCACAACAGTCAATGACTATATTAATCTACTATTTGGTAAAATCCAAAGACTCCAGCTTCTGGGATAATTAATCACTATTTAACAAAAACTGCAGGGAAAACTTGAAAATAGTATGGCAGAAACTGGGCATAGACCAACATCTTACACCCTATACCAAGATAAAGTCAAAATGGGTACATGATTTAGATATAAAGACTGATACTATAAGCAAGCTAGGAGAGCAAGGAATAGTTTACCTTTGAGATCTATGGATAAGGGAAGAATTTATGACCAAAAAAAAAAGAGAACATTATAAAATGCAAAATAGATAGTTTTCATTACATTGAATTGGAAGGTTTTTGCACAAAGCCAATACATCCAAGATTAGGAGGGAAGTAGAAAGCTGAGAAAGAATTTTTACAATCAGTGTTTCTGATAAAGGCCTCATTTCTAAAGTATATAGAGAACTGAGTCAGAGCTGTAGGAATACAAGTCATTCCCCAACTGATAAATGATCAAAAGATATGAACAGGCAGTTTTCAGAGGAAGAAATTAAAGCCATCTATAGTCATATGAAAAAATGCTGTAAATCATCATTGATTAGAGCAATGCAAATCAAAACAACTCTGAGGTACCATATCACTCCTATCAGATTGGCTGACATGATAAAATAGGACAATGATAAATGTTGGAAAAGATGTGGGAAAACTGGAACACTAATGCTTTGTTGGTGGAGTTGTGAACTGATCCAACCATTCTGGAGAGCAATTTGGAACTATGCCCAAAGGGCTAAAAAATTGTGCATACCCTTTGACTCAGCAATACCATTTCTAGGTCTGTATCTCAGAGAGATCATAAAATTGGGTAAAGGATCCACATGTACCAAAGCATTTATAGCAGCTCTTTCTGTGGTGGCAAAGAATTGGAAATTGGGGGGATGTCCATCAATTGGAGAAATGCTATAAGAAATGGTGAGCAGGCAGACTTAGAAAAATCTGGAAAGACTTATATGAACTGATACAGAGTGAAATGAGCAGAACCAGGAGAACATTGTATGCAGTAACAGCCAGTCTGAGATGACTGACTTTGACAGACTTAGCTCTTCACAGCAATGTAAGAATCTAAGCCAACTCCAAAAGACTCAGGATGGAAAAAGCTATCCACATCCGGAGAAAGAACTATGGGTCTGAAATGCAGATGGAAGCATACTATTTGCTCTCCTTTTCCTTTGTTGACAATTTTGTTTTATTGCTTCATTCTCCTGGTTTCTCCCATTATTTCTAATTGTCTTTTTACGTAATGACTAATGGGAAAATATGCTTAATATGAATGTATAAGTAGAGCCTCTATAAGATTGCACGCCATCTTGGGAAGGGAAGATTAGAGGGAGGGGGAGAAAATTAAAAACTCAAAATCTTATGGAAATAAATGTTGAAAACTGGAAAAAAAAAAGAATTCTTGCAGGACGCCAATAATTTGAACTCTCGGCTCCGTTTTCCTCCTTTCAGGCTCTCTGCGCATTTTTCTTCTGGGGATCCCTTTCCTGTCCTCCAGAGGGCGCAGACACCCTCCCGGAACGCATGGTGTGCTTCAGACGCGCCCCTTGGTGTCTCCGCCCTTCACAAAGATGGCGGCAGAAGGGCGTTAAACGGCCGCGGCAGCGCGGGGCGGAGACGGTCTCGTGACGGGGGAAGATGGCTGCCTTTCCGTGGTAAGCTGGAAACCCACCTGGGCTGAGCTGTCGGGAGGCTGGAGTGAACGGGTCACCCTCTCGTTCTGCAGGTGTAGGGGGGCGTCTTAAGTTGCTGGGCCCGGCGAAGGCTGGGCTGGGGCGAGGGCGGCCACTGTGGGAGGGGGAACCCTTCCTCTCCCTCTCCCGCTTTGCGGCCGCCACGACAGAGTCCCCCCCACCCCTCTATTGTGCCCACTACTCTCATCCCCGCCCCCACGCCCACCCCCTCGGTGTCCTCCGAGGCTTCGTTCTGGAAGAAACCTGAAAAGATTAACGCCCCCTTTTACAGATGAGGAAAGTGAGGCCCGTGGAGGCTTAGTGACTGGATCAAGGACTCACAGCTAGCTAGAGCCTGAGTTAGGTTTGGCGCCCAGGCCTCCCTCCTCCAAATCGAACCATTTTTCCTTCTGTCATATACGCTGACCCCTGTTCTTCCTTGTCCGGAGGGACACTTTGGGGCAAGGCTTCTTGGATCGGAGCCTCTGGGTTGCCAGGGCTAGCTCCCCTTTTTTTTTTTGGTGACCCTACCCTATTACATTCCCAACTAGGAGGATACCCCTTCACAATGCACCAGAACCACGGAATGTAAGGACCCAGGGAGTAAGGTACTGAGGACGCATTCACACTCAGGACTGGGCTCTAGATTCAAGATTCTTTCCACTACTCAGTGCTTCCTTTCAATTTTTGAATTGGAGCGGTTTTAGAGATATTCTAGTCGAGTGCCTAATTTCTTGGAGAAACAAACGTTAAACCATTTTTTAATAGGCTTTATAGGTTGCCAAGAACACATTTCTAATAGACTAGAACTACACAAAAGGACAACCTATTCTGTTTTTAGACATCCTGGTTATTAGAGAATTAGGGTTTTTTATGGTTTTTTTTTGCTAATTTGTTTATTTTTGCTCGTCGTTGCTTTAAAATCACCCATCTTGTGACTTTTTAAGCTAGTTTGGCCTTCCAGGGCTAAACAAAACGAGACCAATCCCTCTTCCATGTTATAGTCCTTCAAATAGTTGAAGGCAAGTTTTCATGTTTTCTTCAGCCTAAAATCTTCAATATTTCCTCATGTGTTTTGGTTTTTATTATGCTCACCATCTTCACCCTACTTTGGACATAATCCAGTTTGTCAATGTCCCTCTTAAAATGTTGTAAATGAGGGGCAGCTGGGTGGCGCAGTGGATAGAGGATAGGCCCAGGAGGCAGGAGGACCTGAGTTCATCCGGTCTCAGACATATAACATTTACTAGCTGTTTTTGACCCTGGGCAAGTCACTTAACCCCATTGCCTAGCCAAAAAAAAAAATTGTAAATGAAATTGAATACTGTGCCCTTAATGTAGACTTTCCAGTGAAAATATTATTATCCTTATGTAATATACATTACTGTACTTTTGTTACTGGAATGTAAAATTGTATTAGGATTTTTTTTAATACTCATATCTATAGTTGATTTACATGTAACTTGTAATTAACTAAAACCCCTGTCTTCATTTTAAATGATGGTATTTATCTCCAATTAATTTTATCTCCTTTGTTTTAATCTAACTCAGTCTGTAAAGTTCTTTCTGGATCCTCATTTTTTTGTCTAGCACATTAGCTATGCCTACCAGTTGCATGGCATTCAACCATATCTTCTACATCTTAACCAAAACCATGCAGAAGGAGAAAAATGAAAAGAATAGTTTGGCATTGATACATGTATCATCACTTTTTGGGTACCATGAATCAATGAACTATGACTCCACTGAAACATTCTATCAAGCCCACAGAGGGCTAGGTAGGGCTTGGCCTGGGGACACCCATGAGGGTTTGGGATGTTCCTTTTGTCATCACCTGAACACCTACTATGTGCCAGGCACTGTGTTGGCAACTGGGGAGAAGGAGAAAAAAAAATAAACCAGTGATAGCCCCATCCCTCAAAGAGCTTAGGTTCTTAGCCCTGTGCCTGTCACAGAGTAGGCACTTAATAAATGTTGATTGATTGCTTGGCACACAGTAAGCACTAAATAAATGCTTGTTGATTTGTTCTCCTTGGGGTAGGGAAACAAGTACCAATTAGTAATGGCACTATGATTTTTTTTTTAGGGAGTGGCTCTTTTCTTCCAATCAGAAGCCAAGAGGTAGTTTTTCTGACCTTTGTTAGCTCTTGGGGTGCTTTGGGTTAAAAATTCCTGTGACCCTTTGCTTGGGTTAAGTAGCCCATTCCAGTGTTTGTCATATGCAATGACATGTGGGTAAGGAGATTTCTGATCTGGAATATTTTCTCCCTATTTTTTTTTAACCAAACTATACCCTTTGACATATTTTTGTCTGTCATTGGCACACCATCTAGAGAGGTGGACTTGGAGTTAGGAAGACCTGAGTTTGAATCATGCCTCAGATACTTACTAGCGGTGTGACCCTAGGCAAGTCACTTAACTTCTGTTTACCTCAGTTTCCTTATTGCAAAATGAGTATAGTAATAGCACCTGCCTCACAGGATTGTTGTGACAATCAAATGTAAAATGCTTTGCAAACCTTAACATGTTATGTAAATGCTTGCATAATAGCAAGAGCAGATGTACCCTGAGTACTATCTAAATCACAGGTGAAATTCTCATCCATTGTTACCAAAACTTTTCTGTGGTCAAATCATTAGCTCAGATAAATCAGGGAGAATTATAGAAAGATCAGACTCTAAAAAAAGTTTTTTATATATATGCATACACAGAAATGTGTATGTATTTTTTAACAAGAGAATTATTTTATTGTTATTCATATTTATTTTATATTAATTTTACAAGTAAATATAGCTTTATATTTATTTATAGTTATTCCTAAAGCACTGGTTTTACTATGTCACTCCCTGCTCAGTAAACTCCAGTTGCTCCTGATTACCTCTAAGATCCAGTATAAACCCACTTGGCATTTAATGCCCTTCACAATCTGGTTCCAGCATTTATTCCAGGTTTACAGACTACTCACTTTTACTCACTCTAAGGTAGCTGAACTGGCTGCCTTATTGTTTCTTAAACATAGTGTTCCATCTACATGTTTTTGCACAGCCTTTCTCTTATTTAAAATGTACTTCCTCACTGCCTTAGCATTTGAGCTTCCTTCAAAGCTCTGCTCAAACATCAGTTCCTTATATATACTTTTCAGTTACCAACATTTTTTTTTCTCTTTCCCACTTCTGCCCCCACCTACTTTAAAAAAGAGAGAGAAAGACTAAATTCTTATGGGCAGTGTTATGTGGCTATTTTTAAAATAGTCCACAAAAACCCAACAAATCTCAACAGTAACAGTAGGAGGGATGGATAAAAAGGTTTGTCTAAGGAAAAGGTCACTTGAGATATTTTTCTACTAACTATTAGTGTGTGTTAGTAGATTTAAATAACGCAATTTTGAGGAAATAAGAATAAACCATGATAGAGCCTGTGCATCCATAGTTTCTTATAAAAACAGCAATTTAAAATAGGAAGCCAGGTTTTTAACACAAGAGACATTGATAGGTAAGATGTAGTGGCATTTCTTTTTCTTTTATCAGCTGCCTAGCATCCATGCAAACTTTTATATATTCAGCTACCCCATAGAGAGAGCTGTTTAAACTTATGAAAAGCAAGTTAACCTCTGCAATAATAAGAAATGTTTATATTTTCAGCAGTAGAAATACTACATTAGTAGAGCGAAACTGAGAAAACAAGGGAAGACATGACAGCTAATAGTGAAAGCTATAGTGTACAATTCAAGAACAATGTATTTCTCATAGGAGAAATGAGGCAAACACAACCAGCTATATTCCACTTCTGAAAAATCTTTCTCAGAAAAGTAATATTTTGTAAAATACTTTTGGAAGTTTGATCTTAGCTTTTTTTTAAAAAATTATTTTTTCCTAATTCGTGTAAAAACAATTTTTAACATTTACTTTAAAAAATTTTTTTAGTTCCAAATTCTCTCCCTTCCTTCCTCCCTGAGATGGTAAGCAGTCTAATATAGGTTATACATGTGCAATCATGTAAAACATTTCCATTTTAGTCATTTTATGGAAGGAAACTCCAACCAAAAAAAAAAAAAGAAAGAAAGTGAAAAATAGTGTGCCTTGGTCTGTATTCAGTCTCTATCAATTCTTTCTCTGGAGGTGGATAAGCATTTTTTTTTTATCATGTGTCCTCTGGGATTTTCTTAAATCATTATATTGCTGAGAATAGCTAAGTCACTCATGTTGTTCATTGTACAATATTGCTGTTACCGTGTACAATGTTCTTCTGCTTCTGTTCACTTCATTGTTCAGTCGGTTCATATAAGTCCAGGCTTTTCTGAAATCATTCTCTTTTATTTTTATATTGGCTTTTTTTTTTAAAAAGAAGAAACTTAGCTTTTACAACTTTCAGGAGGACACAGAATTTTAAAGACTTGTTGGAAAAAATGTATCCAAGAGAAGGCAACAGTGATTTGGGAAAGTTGTAGCCTCCTCTTGGATACATTTAGAAGATTGCTCTTTTTTTCCTGATGCAAAGTAGTTGTGTTTCATTTTGGACCACAGATTATGTGTAAAATCACTCACCATACAGTACTGCTGTTTTAATATAATGTTTACACAGATGTTGATGATTGTAGAACAAAATATATGAGGGAGGAAAGAACACAAATTCAGCTTTAAGTCAGACATGCCTTTCTGCTTTTATACAGTCTACTTCACAAATTGCTGACTGAATAGTGTATATAGTTCAGTGCTTTAGCTTGGGGTTTTAGGTGGAGAACTGTCTTCAGAGTTAGAGTCAAGAAAGACCTTGGTTCAAGTGCCCCTTTGGTCACACATTTTCTATATGACTCTGGGGGCAAACTCCTTCATCTCTCAGTGATCTTTGGGAACTCTCTGACACTAGAGAAATCACATCGAAGGGCACATTCTGCATTGCTAGAGGATGCTCCTCACCAGGAGTTCTCTGCACTGATGAAATAACAAAGAATACATTCAGTAATTAAAAAGTAATCAAAAGTCAGCCTTTGGGGAAAACTTGTCAGTGGATGTTTCATTGAATTGTTGAATTGATTGGCCAATATGAAACTTTAAAAACTCCAATTTTGTGTGGAGCAATATGCTGAGCCATCAGTTTATTGTTTTCAGTGTATTTCCCTAACCTTGGGGATTATTTTATCATCTGTAAAAAAAAAAATTCTAAAGGCACAATAATCAGTGAATCGATGTTTTCCAAAGTATAATAATGTGTGCTGTATAATGACTACCAAATACTAGCTCACATTTATATAGCATTTTACATCTGTATTATCTCATTTAATCCTCTTAGAGGCAGTGTGACCTTATGGATAGAGAACCTAGCCGGGGAACCAGGAAGACCTGGGTTCCAGTACTACTTTTGAGTTAATAGCTGTGACTCTGGCTAATCACTTGATCTCTTAGTGCCATAGGCAATTCGCTTCCTTATCTATACCAACATGAAAGGGTAGGCACTATTTTTAATCCTCATTTTGCACATGAAGAAACTGAGACCCAGAAGTTTAGTACAGGGTCACACAGCTAGTAAGTCTTTGAGGTGGGATTTGAACCCAGATCTTCTTACTCAAAGTCCACTAGTCAATCTGTCACATCACACTGTCTCTCTTCTACTGAATTACATTCTATTTTTGGCATTTTCTTCTCCCTTGCACTCTGTTACCCAACCTAGCTCTGGTGCCTGCAAGTTCTCATTTTCTAGTTTGAGTTCCAGGTCAAGCAAATGCACTCTGATAAATTAACCAGAGTGCATGGGTTTTTGGCACTCAGGTTCTCATATTTGCTCTTTTTTTTTCCCTGTCACTTTCTTTCTAGCTTGTTCTTAAAGTGATTCAAAAGTGTTTTAGCACTCTTCTGTTCCTTTGACCAGTGCTGGGTTGGCACCTTCTCTTCATTTTAAAGTTGTAAAGAATTGGTAGACAGAGTTTCCTCAGGAGGGAGTTCCCTATACTAGTGACCTTCCCTTTCTTTTCCTATTAAATGTCTTTAGAAATAACATCTAAATGTGCTATGTAAAGGGATTATTCTATGCCCCATTTCATTCAGGAAAATAAATAGTATAATCTCTATGAAATGATGAAGGACACAATGATGACTATGACCTGTCAAAGAATTTGGGTATAAGTGTTTCATACAAAAGCTGATGAATGAACTAGTGAAAAAGATGGTAGATTGAAGGGAGAGGAGAATGGACCACAATAACATTCAAAGGGCTACAGATTTAGGGGGAAAACAATAAATTAGAGATTAAGAAAGCAAAAAGGACATTTTGGTATGCCTGTTGGGTTTTATTCTTTTTCCCTGGCTTGAGGTGTTTCAGGAATCTCCAGTTGTGAAATGCTGGAGCTTATGGCTGAAGATTTTGCTTCTCTTCTGTACTTAGATGAAAAGAAATAGACTTCTTTGTTGGTTTAGATGTTAGCTGAAAGTCAATACGGTCAAGGATTCTGTCAAGGATCCATACCACCTTTCTCTGAATGTAGATAGCATTTTCCATCATGATTCCTTTGGAACTGCCCTGGATCATTGTATTGCTGAGAAGAGCTAAGTCAATCATAGCTGATCATGGCACAATGTTGGTGTTACTGTGTACAATGTTCTTCTGGTTCTGCTCACTTCACTTTGCATCAGTGCATGTAAGTCTTTACAGGCCTGGTGATTCTGTGACTATAGTTAGATTTTAAATTTATGTACAGATTTATACTTGTTTTGACATTTAGCCATTAAGCAAGTATATAATAGTTTCTGATTTTAAAGAAGGCTATTGAGTTGGTAGGAGAGAAGTTCAAAAATAACACATTAAGATTTCCCTGTTGTGAGTCACTTATTTTATTTTTACTTGTTCCCTTCAGAGTATAAATCCACTGAGTAGGAGCTAGGAGTGAATGTATGTGTATGTCTATGTTCCCAATGAAAAAGGAAGACAGTTTAATAGCTTTATTGTCAAGAAGTAGAAATCAAAAATGGTCAAAGGATATGAACAGGCAGTTTTCAAATGAAGAAATCAAAGCTATCAATAGTCATATGAAAAAATGTTCTAAATCACTATTGATTAGAGAAATGCAAATTAAAACAACTCTGAGGCACTATCTCACACCTACCAGATTGGCTAATATGACAGACAGGAAAGAAAAATGATAAAACTTGGAGAGGATGTGGGAAAATTAGGATACTAATGGGTGCTTGATGAAGTTGTGGACTGATCCAGCCATTCTGGAAAGCAATATAGAACTATGTCCGAAGGGTAGTCAAACTGTGCATACCTTCTGATCCAGCAATACCACTACTAGGTCTGTATCCCGAAAAGATCATAAAAAAGGGAAAGGAAATTAAAAAAGTTAAAAAAAAATGCACAAAAATATTTATAGCAGCTCTTTTTGTGGTTGCAAAGAATTGGAAATTGAGGAGATGCTGATCAATTGGGGAATGGCTAAAGAATTGTGCTATAAGAAATGATGAGCAGGTGGATTTTAGAAAAACCTGTAAAGACTTACATGCACTGCTGCAAAGTGAAGTGAGCAGAACCAGGAGAACACTGTACACAGTAACAGCAACATTATGCCATAATCAGCTATGATTGACTTAGCTCTTCTCAACAATACAATCATCCAAGACAGTTCCAAAGGCATCATGATGGAAAATCCTGTCCACATTCAGAGAAAGAACTGATGGAGTCTGAATGCAGATCTAAGTATACTAATTTCACTTTATGTGTGTGTGTGTGTGTGTGTGTGTGTGTGTGTGTGTGTGTGTGTGTGTGTGTTTCCTTTTGGTCTGCTTCTTTTACAGCATGAATCATATGGAAATGTTTTACATGATTGTACATATATAATGCATATCAAATTGCTTATTTATTTTAGGGAGGGGGAGGGAGAAAAATTTGGAATTCAGTTTTAAAAAATGAATGTTAAAATTGTCTTTATATGTAATTGGAAAAAATAAAATACTTTTAAGAAACACTCGGGGGGGAAAAGAAGTAGAAATCAAACCCTGGTTGCTTTAGGACTGTTAGAGTGAACTGCTTTCATTATTTTGACAAAATATTTCTGAGTATTTAACCTGCATTACTTTTTAATCTTATGCCTTTTCTTATTGTTAAAGAAAGTAAATACGTACAGGTTCTGTGTGTTTCCTCCATTTTCATCGTGGAGTCTTAGAGAATGGCATGAGGTACATAGAGGTTAAGTGACTTGCCTGTTGTTACTAAGTATTGGAAGTGATTTTTGAATCTCTGACTTCTGTGCTCCAAGTCCAGCATTCTCTCTACTACACTGTGCTGCCTTATTAAAAGAATGAATCAGATTCAAAAATAAAAGTGCTTATGGAAAAATTTGAGGTTGTGGTTATATGTTTTTGCATCTTATAAGTTACTTAGGAGTTTATCTTTTAATCACTATTAAATACAATGTTTGATATTGTGAAAATTCTCCACAAAAGAGCTTTTTGTTTTACAGTTAAGCCCAGAAGAGTACCTTTCTATTCTTAGAAACCTGCTATAGTTTAAAAAAAATAAACTATCTTTTTTTTTTTAATTTAGGGATGTTACCTAATTTGTGCTATTGTAAGGAATTCATTTGCTGCTCATCTTTCTTTAAACTATTTTTGGTAAATGGAAAATTCATAGGAATAAGGTCATTTGATACTTTAGGGTAGAGAGCTAAAAACCCTGTAAGGTCAGTACTATTTTAGACAAGCTAATAATCAGCTTTTGGGTCATGAAGAGGACATTTCTCTTCTGGCCTCACTTTCCTTATTTGTAAAATGAGGGGATTGAGATAGATGACCTTTAAGGTCTCGTCCAGGTGTAATATCTTGTGATTCTAATTAGCTCATCAAGAAGTGTTTTTTCACATGGGCTTTTATTCACTGCTTCGTTTATGCATACATGTATTTAACAGGCATTCAAGGCAGAGAAACTATAAAACTGAATTTGAATCATGTAGCTTAGAGGCTGTACCCTTGGACTTTGGAGATTATCATCCACTGAAACCTATAACTGTAAGTTTGTTATGCATGATATTCTCATTGACTGAAATTACTGGTTACTATCTTCCTTTATCTTTTCCTGTTTATAACTGGGAGTTGGTCATGTCACTGGCATTTCTGTGTTCTTTTACTTTTATTTTGTTGCCTATGTTGCTGATAACTATTATTTCCTTTCATATTAGTAGAATTAACCTGAACATTTGATTTATTGCAGGAGTGGAGGTAGGATGAATCTAGTTTCTTCTTGCTTTCTCCAGTTAGAAAAGAAAGATCATGGTTAAGGCCTTGTCCCAAGTAAGGAACTTTTTCTGTAGCTGTCTTCAAAAGGGAACCTCACTTACCATTGTTTGTCCCATATGGACATATTACTTTAAAAATATCTGTGAGAATATGATCATAATATGAGATGACTGTGAAGGAAGTAGCTGCTGTAGTATACTCTGGGCAGGGTGTTCATTATTAACGAAAACAGTGTCAGACTTAGAATAAATAAGCTAGTACAACTGAGTCATCTATTCATAAGACAAAATTCTAAAGTCATTTTGTTGTTTGATTAGGAAGAATATTAAAATCTCTTTAAAATTTTCCCATAGGTCACAGAATCAAAGACCAAGAAAATGGGGAGGAAAGGAAGTACTTCTTCTACTTCTTCTTCTTCCTCCAGCTCAATGGTGGACCCCTTGAGCAGTGTTCTTGATGGTACTGATCCACTCTCCATGTTTGCGGCAACAGCAGATCCAGTGACTACCACATCTAATATGGTAATGGAATGTTCTTTTTTTAATCAAGGAAGGAGTTCTTTTATGTTGTCATTTCTCCATTTTTAGGAAATACTTTTATATGAAAAAAGTAATTATTGCCTTAATACCATGTATCAAATCAGAGAAAGTGCTTTTATAAACCTTAAATCGCCATGTAAATTCAACAAGCAAGTCAGCAAGCAGTTATTAAGTACCTGCAATGTACCTGACACTATGCTAAGTGCTTGGGATACAGAGAAAGGTAAAACACAATCCCTTCCCTCCAGGAGCTCATAGTCAAATGGGGAAGACAGTATATGAACAACTGAGTGTATACAAGGTAGGGAGAAGGCAAATTGGAGGTAAGCTCAGAGAGAAAGCACTAGCACTGAGGGGGCCTGGGAAAGACCTTTTGTAGAAAGTGAACCCTTTTCCTCTTTCTTTGATCTCTTTGTCCATTTGCAGTGGAGTTATGTTCACTTTTGTATCCAACATTCATAGTGTGATGGATGGCCAGCCAGTGAAAAGGCACAAAGTGAGGAGATAGAGTGACTTGTTCAGAGAACATGTCACTGTTGCTGGATTGTAGAGCACAGGGAAACTATTACAGTGTAAGAAGATTGGAACAGGTAGGAAGGGGCTTTAAAATCAAAAGATTTTATATTTGATCCTGGTGGTAACAGGGGTTTACAGGATAGGAGTTTACTGAATAGGAGAGAGATATAGTCAGAGCCGAATTTTAGAACAATCTCTTTTGCAGCAGAGGGGAGGATGTTCTAAATAGAGGAGAAACTTGAGGCTGTGAGACAACTGGAAAGTTACTGAAATTGTATGGATGTAAAGGGATGAAGGCTTCAATCAGGGTGGCAGCAGTGTCAGAGGAAGGAAGGGAATATATAGGAGAGGTGTTGTGAAGGTAGAAATAACAGGACTTCATAACGAATTGGATATGGGGCTACTTTCTCTTACAAGAGAGTGAATTGTCAGTAACACCTAGATTGTAAGCCTGTATGACTGGGAAGATTGTGGCACCCTCAACAGTAATAGAAAAGTTAAGAAGAGAGGAGGGTTTTGGAAGAAAGATAAGTCCTGTTTGGGGCATGTCAGGTTTGAGACGTCTATGGGACACCCAGTTGAAGGTGTTCAACAGATAGTTGGAGATGTAAGACAAGAGGTCAGCAGAGAGGTTAGGGCTGGATCTGTGTCTGAGAATTATCTGTATGGAGATTATAATTGAATGGGACGGGGGGGGGGGGGAATGAGATCACTAATCAAGATAGCATAGAGTAAAAAGAGTAGAGGGCCAAGGACAGATTCTTGAGGGACACCCATGGTTTGAGGGTGTGACCTGGATGAAGATCTATTGAAGGAGACTGAGAGCAGAGTAGGAGGAAAATCAGGAGAGAGCAGTGTTATGAAAACTTAGAGAGAAGGGTATATCATTGGCAATTAAAAGACTAAAGGTAATTTTGGAAAAATTAGTTTCAGTTGAATGATGAAGTTGGGAACCAGATCAAAGAGAATTTAGAAGAGAGAAGAAAGTAGAAGTAGAGAGATGATAAAGGAGGCAGTCTTCTGGAGAAAACAGGATGGAATGGGTTATTTGGGCATGTAGAAGTAGGTTAGCTTTGGCGAGAAGGGTAACATCTTCATTTGAGGCAGGTGGAGGAGAGATGTGAGATGAGAACAGGAAATGAGGGAGTTCTCAATGGCCTTAATTTTTCAGTTAAGTATGAGTGAAAGTTCTAAGCTAATGGTATGAGGAAGGGATTATTATAGGAGGTTTGAGAAAAGATGGAAAGGTTTGGAATAGTTACTTTGGTGAGTAGGATAGTGAATCAGTTAGGGTGGTTTAAAAAGATTGCTGCAGTAGGGGCTTAGTTGAGGTTGTGTTATATAAATTTGTAGTGTACCCAATCAAGGTGGTTTCATAAGATTTTTCTCCAGCTCTGTTCAATAGCAGGTGAATAGGAATAGTCTTTTTTTTTTAAAGCTAATTTATTGAAGATTGTAGCAACTTATCACAAGAATAATACAATATGACCAGGTAGGATTTATACCAGGAATACAGGGCTGGTTCAATATTAGGAAAACTATCAGCATAATTGATCATATCAACACCAAAACTAACAGAAACCACATGAGCATCTCAATAGATGCAGAAAAAGCTTTTGACGAAATACAACATTCATTCCTATTAAAAACACTAGAAAGCATAGGAATAAATGGTGTCTTCCTTAAAATAATAAATAGCATCTACCTAAAACTTTTAGCAAGCATCATGTGTAACGGGGACAAGTTGGAAGCATTTCCAGTAAGATTGAAGATGAAACAAGGATGTCCATTATCACCACTGTTATTCAATATTGTACTAGAAATGTTAGCAATAAGAGGAGAAAAAGAAATTGAAGGTATTAGAACAGGCAAAGAAGAAACAAAGCTATCACTCTTTGCAGATGATGATATACTTAGAGAATCCTAGAGAATCAAGTAAAAAACTACTTGAAATAATAAACAACTTTAGCAGAGTTGCAGGCTATAAAATAAACCCACATAAATCATCAGCATTTCTGTGTATTACCAACAAAGCCCAACAGCAAGAGATAGAAAGAGAAATCCCATTTAAACTTACTGTAGACATTATAAAATATTTAGGGGTCTACCTCCTGAAACAAACCCAGGAACTCTATGAACACAATTACAAAACACTTTTCACACAAATAAAGTCAAATCTAAATAATTGGAAAAACATCAATTGCTCGTGGGTAGGCTGAGCTAATGTAATAAAAATGACAATTCTACCTAAGCTAATTTACTTATTCAGTGCCATACCAATCAAATTACCAAAAATTATTTTACAGAATTAGAAAAAATAATAACAAGATTCATTTGGAGGAACAAAAGATCCAGAATATCAAGGGAACTAATGAAAAGAAATGCAGGGGAAAGTGGCCTAGCCATTCCAGATCTTAAATTGTATTATAAAGCAGCAATCATCAAAACTGCTTGGTACTGGCTAAGAAATAGAGTTAAGTATGCAAGACACAGTAGTCAGTGACTATAGTAATCTATTATTTGATAAACCCAAAGACCCCAGCTTCTGGGATAAGGAACCTACTCTTTGAAAAAAACTGCTGGGGGTGCAGCTAGGTGGCACAATGGATAGAGCATCAGCCCTGAAGTCTGTAGGACCTGAGTTCAAATCTGGCCTCAGACCAAACACTTGACACTCACTAGCTGTGTGACCCTGGGCAAGTCACTTAACCCCAATTGCCTAAAAAAAAGAAAAAAGAAAAAAACTGCTGGGAAAACTGGAAAAGAGTATGGCAGAAACTAGGCATAAATCAAAATCTCACACCATATACCAAAATAAAGTCAAAATGGGTTCATGATTTAGATATAAAGGCTGATACTGTAAGCAAACTGGGAGAGCAAGGGATAATCTACCCATTAGATTTATGGAGAACAGAAGAATTCATGAGCAAAGAGGAGATAGAGGACATTAAGAAAGGCAAAATGGATAACTTTGATTCCATTAAGTTGAAAAGGTTTTGCACAAACAAAGCCAATGCAACCAAGATTAGAAGGAAAGTAGAAAATTGAGAAAGAATTTTTATAACCAGTCTCTCTGATAAGGGCCTCATTTCTAAAATATATAGAGAATTAAGTCAGATTTATAAGAATACAAGTCATTCCCCAATTGATAAATGATCAAAGGATATGAACAGGCAGTTTTCAGATGAAGAAATTAAAGCCATTTGTATTAATATGCAAAAATGCTCTAAATCACTATTGATTAGAGAAATGCAAATCAAAACAACTGTGAGGTACCACATCACACCTATCAGATTGGCCAACATGACAAAACAAAAACAATGATAAAATTGGAGAAGATGTGGGAAAATTAGAACACTAATGCATTGTTGGTGGAGTTGTGAAATGATTTTGGAGAGCAATTTGAAACTATGCCCAAAGGGCTATAAAAATGTGCATATCCTTTGACTCAGCAATAGCATTTCTAGGACTATATCCCAAAAAGATCATACAAATGGGAAAAAGACCCATATGTACAAAAATATTTATAGCAGCTCTTTTTCTGGTGGCAAAGAATTAGAAATTGAGAGGATACCCATCAATTGGGGAATGGCTGAGCAACTTGTGGTATATGAATGTAATGGAATACTATTGTGCTAGAAATAATGAGCAGGTAGACTTCAGAAAAACCTGGAAAGACTTGAATGGAGTGATGCTGAGTGAAGTGAGCAGAACCAGGAGAAGGTTGAACACAGTGGCAGCCATGCTGTGTGATGACTAACATTAATAGACTAAGCCCTTCTTAGCAATGTGAAGATCTAAGACATTTCCAAAGACCTCATGATGGAAAATGCTATCCACATCCAAAGAAAGAACTGTGGAGTTTGAATGCAGATCGAAGCATACTATTAGCTATTTTTTTTCTTCTGTTGAGTTTTGTTTCCTCTTTCTGGTGGTTCCTCCTATTGGTTCTAATTCTTCCTTACAGCATCACTAATGTGAAAATATGTTTAATAGGAATGTATATGTATAGCCTATATCAGATTGGGGAAGGTGGTGGGGAGGGAAGGGGATAAAAATTTAAAACTCAAAAGCTTATGGAAGTGATTGTTGATAAATCAAAATAAATTGATTTTTAAAAAAGCTAATTTATTGAAAGATAAACAAGACAACAATCAAAAATAGGTTATAAAACAATTAACATTTTTATATTATTCAGAGTAATCACTTTTAAAAAAATATTTACAGTTTCAAATTCTTTCCCTCCCTCCTTTCCTTATCCTTCAAGAAGGCAAGAAATACAATACCCATTATACGTATGAAGTCATACAGGACATATTTTCAGATTAGCCGTGTTGCAAATACCCAAAAAAAAAAGGCAAGAAAAATAAGGTTGAAAAAATATGCTTCAGTCTGTATTCAGAATTCATCCGTTCTTTCTCTGGAGGTGGATAGTATTTTTCATCATGAGTCCTTTGGAATTATCATGGATCAGAGTAGCTAAGTTTTTCACAGTTGATTATTGTTCCAGTATTGCTGTTACTATGTACAATGTTCTGGTTCTGCTCATTTCTCTCTGCATCAGTTCATGTAAGCGTAGGAGTATTCTTTTGCAGAACAAAGCATGAACTGCCTACTTGGTAGGACTCTTGGAACGTTGTGGGGTTGTTTTTTGTTTGCTTTAGAGTTTTGTCTGTTACTATTGAGTCCTTTGTGCCTTTCTTATCCATAGGATAGCTCAAGAAAGAAACGAGATGACATTTCCACCGTAGGAACTGATTTTGAACCTTGGTCAAGCAAACGTGGTGATATCCTTGCCAGATACACAACAACAGAAAAACTTTCTATTGTAAGTTGCCTGATTCTTTTTGTCTCAATGTAGTCTCAGGATTTTAGGCTTCTTTCTCCTTATTGTTTGGGCTCTTCTAAGTTTGTTATGTCATTAGTGTTAGAATTTTGGCGAAAAGGTAGAGATCAGGTCTTCTAGAACCTCATTATCACAAAGCAGTGGCAGAGTATAGAAAACAGTTGTAATGTAGAATTTTTCCATTTATTGACTTACTTTGACTCCTGAGTTGCCTTGAAATTTGCTCTTTTGGCAGTTAATTTTTTTTTCACCTTTGAATAAATGTTCATGATATTTTATTTAGATGCATGATATTGCTTCTTAGAACTAGCTTGCTAATACTTTTCAGTCTTTTGTGATTTCTGCTTGAGGATGTTGTAAAGGGACTGCTTCGTCAGATACTTAACTACGTGGCTTTAGACATCCCTTTTGACTCAGATTCTATGGTTCCATAAACGTCTGATCTTCATTGTAACAACTGATGTTATTTCTCTACAGAATCTGTTTATGGGATCTGAGAAAGGTAAGTTAGTTACAAATTTCTTGATTGGTGAACTGTTATTATGTTGGATTGAGGACAGTATTACAAAAGAAACAAATTTTATCCTTTAACTTGTGTGCTCTCTTGATTTGTTAGATCACTCATAATAGACATTTGTACAGTAATTATTGATTGAATGAATAGTTAGGTAGTTAATAAATGCTTGTTGTTGACTTATCAAATATTTTAAATAAAATTTTGTTTTAAAAAAATAGACAAGCATTTCTTTTCACTCTTTCTTGACCCTTGCCCCTGGGAAAAAAATAAAGAAAATATAAGATGCTATTTGAATTCTAAATTATTTCATAGACCATGCGTGAAGGAACAGCTCCCCAGTTTATTTATTTAATCGTGAAATTCTAACATTTAATTCAATTCTACAAGCATTCATTAGGCACCTACTAGATGACTGACCCATTGCTTGGCCCTGGGGATTTATAAACATAGCCACCAACCTCAAGGGGAGAGGCGGGGAGTTCTTTTTGGTTTAAGAATTTTTTCTTTTTGGAAAATTCCAGTAACCATGTGAGTGATAACTATTCTGATTGGTCTTACTTATCATTTGCCTCTTAGAATCTGGTAAACTCGTTAAGGCAGTTTTGATGAGACCATTGGATTCCTGAGTTGAGGGAGAGGTTGGGGGTCCTGGCAAAGCATAAAAAGGGGGGATTGGGCATTGAAGAGGAGGTCTGGCTTGGGCTGAGCCTGCAGCTACAATCACTTTTCACCATTTAGGGAGACTGAAAGCCGCTAGATCTAGTATTGTTGGGCTGAAAGTGTTTGAAAGCCTACTCCCTATTTTCAAGTAATGTAATTAAACAGGCTTAGTGCCTTGTGCAGGAAATACCCAATGCCCTAAGTGTAGAAGGAGCTTAATAAATTCTTGTTGAATGACTAAATCAGTCAATGAAGTGGTAGTTTCACTAGGGTATCAATTTTGTGTGTGCTCCATAGGGGACATTTCACTTCACTTTGATTCCTGGAAGTAACCCAAGGTGTAATTTGTGTAATTGTTTAGTTTGGTTTTTTTATATGGTGGGTGAGCAAATGATGGAGTGCAAAGTTTTATCAATATAAAATTCAGTGGAAGTGTTTGAATGGAATGAAATCAGGTAAGTAGTAAATTCTGTTTTTCTCTGTGAAATATTGATTACTTAGGTAACTTGCCCCTAGAGTATTGATTTGTTTTGTTTTGTTTTTTTGTAAACATTCAGAAATTCTATTATGTTTAATCAAAATGCAGCAGAAATTCTTCTATTATAGATGTGATCCTGGTAGGAAAGAATCCTAAAAATATAAATTTATGAAAATCTTGAGATCCTAAAACATTGAATTCTCTATGTTTAGGCAAGGCTGCTGCCTCCACATCTGCAATGTCCGAGAAAGTCAGGACAAGGCTGGAGGAACTCGATGATTTGGAGGAGGTGAGCTGGTTTGAAGGGCTAGCAGTGAGGAGAAGACATTTTTGTTGATTCTCTATTCTCTCCGTTTAGTAACAGTTTCATTTTTTAAAAAAATTTTATTCATTTATTTCATCAACAATCACTTCCATATGCTTTTGAGTTGAAAATTTTTCTCCCCCTTCCTCCCCCCCACCCTCCCCAAGACTGTGCACCATCTGATATAGGCTTTACATTTACATACCCATTAAACATATTTTCACATTAGTGAAGTTGTAAGTGAAAATTGAAACCAATAGGAGGAACCATCAGAAAGATGAAACAAAACTCAACAGAAGGTAAAAATAAGTGATAGCGATTCGACTTCCATAGTTCTTTCTTTGGATGTGGACAGCATGTTCCATCCCGAGGCCTCTGGAGATGTCTTAGATCCTTGTAATGCTGAGAAGGGTTTAGTTTAACAATCTTAGTCATTGTATAACGTGGCTGTTATTGTGTACAAAGTCCCCTTGGTTCTGCTCACTTTACTCAGCATCACTCCATACAAGTCTTTCCAGGTTTTTCTGAGGTTAGCCTGTTCATCATTTCTTATAGCATGATAGTATTCCATTACATTCATATACCACAAGTTGCTCAGCCATTCCCCAATTGATGGACATCCTCTCAATTTCCAATTCTTTGCCACCACAAAAAGAGCTGCTATGAAAATTTTTGTACATGTGGGTCCTTTTCCCATTTGTTTGATCTCTTTGGGATATAGCCCTAGAAGTGCTATTGCTGGATCAAAGGGTATGCACATTTTTGTAGCCCTTTGGGCATAGTGCCAAATTGTTCTCCAAAATGGTTAGATCAGTTCACAACTCCACCAACAATGTATTAGTGGAACAGTTTCATTTTTCATCTTTTGCTTTCTTCCTGATCTCTAACCTAAGGAGCTCTGTGTAAGGTGTGCAGGCTCTTCTCTAGCAGTGATACTGACCAGTAAAAGAGATGCCAGAGCTGCATTGAGAAGCTCCTGAGACCTCTAGCTTAAGTTGGTTTTAAGGGTAGTGTTCTATCCTCATTATAATATAATCTGTGATATAATCTGGCAGTTAGGAGGAAGTTACTGTGGTTGATAATGCCCCCTGCATTTTATGTGGAAGTCACATACACATTTATTTTCTTTCCCCCTTTTTTTTTCCAGGCAATTGGGGTTAAGTGACTTGCCCAGGGTCACACAGTTAGTAAGTGTCAAGTGTTTGGTCTGAGTCCAGATCTGAACTCAGGTCCTCCTGACTTCAGAGCTGGTGCTCTATCCACTGCGCCACTCACATATACATTTATGTGGCACATTTATAGTTACCATTAACTAAGAGATGGCTACCATATGGCCTTTGGAATAGAGTATAATGCAGTATTCTAATGTAGAAATTAGAAGTCTAGAAGAGTACATTTAAGAGAATCTTCATGTCATTTGTCTCAATCAGCTGGCTTTAACTTAGTTGGAGATTTACAGTGGGAACTTTAGCAAGCCTCTTACTTTTTTTGTAGAGCCTAGCTCACACGGTTATGAGGATCAAATGAGATCATATAAATATAGGACGTGTTTTGTCAACAGTATTTATATAAATATCAACTATTAATTATTTTTAAGAATGCGTAGGTTCTGGCCTGTTATCAAGTGAAGTTTATTTGTTCTTGTTAATTTTAATTTAGTTTAATGTTCACAATTCATTAAATGGCAATACGGTCTGCAAAAATATTTTGGTAACTTTTGTATCTAAGTTCTATCACAGAATTTTGTACAGTGCCTAATAATCTTACCTTTTTCATGGAATGAAACATTCTAAATTAATTTTTCTCTCACTGGATTAATTTTTTTTCATTATGTTTTGTTTTCCTTTGTCAATAATCTCTTTACTTGGCTGTAAAATTGTATGTGCAACATCTTTGTCATTTTTTACAGTCTGACACAGCAACACATGGAAGAAGAAATTTCTTTGTAGGGCAATATATTAGGGATTTCTAGCATGGAATCGCTGTGTCTGATGACTCCTGTCAACATATGGGCAGCATGGTGTAGTGGAAAGAGCTCTGTATTTGTATTTGAGTACCTCATTTGAATCCTGGTGCCCACTACATTCTCTCTCCCCTCCCTCCCCTCCCCCCAGGTAGTATGTGGAATGGCCTTAAGCAAGTCAGTTTGCCTCTGTGGACTTCAATATCCTCTTCAGTACAGTGAAGGGGTTAGACCAGGAGTGGGGAACCTGAGGCCTCAAGGCCACATGTGGTCTTCTAGGTCCTTGGGTGTGGCCTTTTGACTGAGTCCAAGTTTTACAGAACAAATCCTTTTATTAAGGGTATTTGTTCTGTGAGGTTTGGATTCAGTCAAAGGGCTGCTCATGAGGACTTAGAGGAACACATGTGCCCTTAAGGCTGCAGGTTCCCTACCCTTGGGTTAGACCAAGTAGTCTCAAGTGTCTCTTGCATTGCTAAAGTTGAGATCCAGAAGGCAAGAGGTATTGTCATTTATTAGATTCTTGTAGAAAGCCTCCAGATTACGTGTTATTAGATGAATCCGCTACTTTCCATTGCTTACTCAACAACCTTTCTGTACTATGAAGCACCAAAATAAAACTAATACAAAATGGTAAATAGTAACTGTGCATTCTCCCTATTTAATAGAACCTGAGTGGCTAGTGAAGAATTTTGAATTTTTTTCTTATCCTATCCCCATCACTTAGGAATATCAACATCCTTTTTAATTTCAGAAACTTTCTATCAGAAGGTTTGCCTTCTGGTGATATCACTTTAAGTACATGTTTCACTCACATTACCAGTGTAGTTCAGTGTGCTCTTTGAAGAAAATGGAAAGAAACCATGTTGGTGAAGAATAAATGCTGTTTAATGGGGAGGGAACATAGGGACAGAAAGGAGGAGAGAACTTCAGAGACCAAAGCTTAGCTAACTGACATTCTTTCTCTTGGATGATTGTTAGATGTGATTTTGCCTTTCTTGGTTACATTTCCCCTATGATTTATTTACAGGGATCCCAAAGAGAGCTACTGAATTTGACTCAACAGGATTACATGAACAGAATTGAAGAGCTTAATCAGTCACTAAAGGATGCCTGGGCCTCGGACCAGAAAGTGAAAGCACTAAAAATTGTTATCCAGGTCAGGACTGTGATTCTTAAAGTCTTGTGTAAAATGACAAAAATTAAAAATTGCTGAAGTGAATAATAGGACTAAAGGAGACTTTTAAAACATGTCCATTGTTAGTAAGAAAACTTGCTCCCATATGTTTATCTTCTTATTACAATGGCTTCTTTTCCCTTTAAAAAGAGACAAGACAGATAGTGAATAAACTACTCCTAGGGTATAATTGGACACTCTGGGGACATAAACTCATTAAAACCACCAAGATACCATATAACAAAACTTCTGTTTCTACAAGTTAATGCTTCTACAATATTTAAAGAGACTCTTACTTATCCATTGCAAGGTGGTTGAGGAGAAAAAGGAGTATGTAAGTAGAGTCTTGGGATGAAAATAAATGGCTTGTGAGGAGATAGATGGTAGCTTGTAGCAGCAAGAAAATACCAGAGCTTCTGGCATCATTCCCCCCCTTTTTTTCTTTCTTTCAACAAAGTAATGCTCACATCATTAGCTGATCAATTCATCTTCCATCATGGAATTAATAAATTCAAAGTTAGAATGAAATTATATGTAGAAAGGAGTAAATCACTGAGGCATTTCCTAATCTCTGTAGGTAAGTTCATTCTTTTACCACCTCTCTTTCATTTTTCCAAGAATTTAAATTGCTCCTTTCAAAATACTGTGTAAGTTATACTAATAAACACAAAGAATGCATAGTAAACCCTCTCTGGATAGGAGGCCTTTCAATGTATAGTTTTTCCATAAGGGGTATTTCCTCAGTTGTCATTTAAAAATATTAGTTATATAAGACAGGTATTGACTGTCATAAAACATTGCATTTCCCCCCAAAACTTCACATTTATATGATAAGTCTGAGTTCAGTATTTAATAGGTTTGATTTCCTATCCAGCTTTTTTTTTTTGTGAAGCCACATTGGCTTTTGTTGGATATTTGTAGCCAAAAGGTGTATATCTCAGGCAATATCAAGCAGTAAACATTTATTAAACACTTATTATGTGCTAAGTACTATGCTAAGCACTAGGGATGTAAAAAGAGGCAAAAGAGAGTCCCTGCCATCAAAGAGCTTACAATCTAACGGGGGAGACAACAAACAAATATATAAAAATATATATAAATCTATATATATATAAGAGAGAGAGTGAGAGTAATCTGTGTACAGAAAAAATAGGAAGTAGTTAACAGAAGGAAGGCACTTAATTAAAAGGTGTTGGGGAAGACGGGATTTTATTTGGGCCTGAAAGGAAGCCAGGGAGGTCAGTAGTTGGAGCAAAGGAGGGAAATTGTTCCAGGCATGGGCAACAGCCAGAGAGAATGCTTGGAGCAGAGAAATGGAGTGTCTTGTTTGTGAAACAGCCAGGCCACTCTCATTGGATCAAAGAGTACATGTCGGGGAGTAAGGTATAAGAGGACTTGAAAGGTGGGAGGGGGCTAAGTTATGAAGGGCTTTGAATGCCAAACAGAGGATTTTGTATTTGCTCCTAGAGGCAGTAGGGAGCCTTGAGTTTATTAGAGTTCGGGGAAGGGGGTGTGACATGCTTTAGAAAAGTCACTTTGGTGGCTGAATGTAATTTTGTGGTACATTGTACTTTTATTTTTTTAGGCAATTGGGGTTAAGTGACTTGCCCAGAGTCACACAGCTTGTAAGTGTCAAGTGTTTGGTCTGAGTTCAGCTTTGAACTCAGGTCCTCGTGACTTCAGGGCCAGTGCTCTATCCACTGCACCTGTTCTACATTTTTTAATGTTATTGGAATTTTGTTTCAAGATTTGAGAGATACATTTTGATTTGAATTGAAAGAAGTCTTTGAATAACAACATGCAGTCCTTTAAAAAGAAAAACAGACTGATTGATTCATAGGCACGAATGGACCTAGGAATGATGGTATCTTGTCAAAACAATCTTTGTGATTTACACTAGTATGAGTAATTTAAGTAATGTTATTTTTGTAGATATGTTAAAAAAAAGATGTCCAGGTTGCTATTATTTTTATTTTATATGTCAACTTTTACCATTGTTCAGTACTACAGTAATGGTGACTTTTTTTCTCACCTGTTTTTTTTGAGAGATTTAATAGAGTCTGAGATTCTTTGGTTTAGATATTTGAAATCTCATTAAGATGAATCTTTGGATCCCACTGTATATTTTGGGGGGTTTCCAGGACATGTGGCAAACTATAGCTTATATTCAAAGGCTGTTATTATTTTACAAAGTAAATATTATTGAAGGAAGATCATCTCATTCCAAAGACATGTGATGTGAATTGCTTGCTGTGTAGTTTAAGTGAAGAAATATCTGAATCAGTAAGTGTTTCTCCAAAATATTTTTATTGGCAAGAACTCCCCATAGATTTAAGTTCTGCCCCTTTTTTAAACTGTGACTTCTTAAGCTTTATTTCAGGGAGATTTTATTTCATCTCTTTTTTTTCCCCCAATAAAAGAACAAAATGGAAGCTTCTATTAGCTAAACACCTGGTCAACATGAGTATAAACTTCATTCACTCTTCTTTTTAAGTGTTTCCTTCTTTAGCTAAAGATATAGTCAAGGCAGAATGCTTACTTGGTATGTTCTCTTAGACTTTAGTACTCTTTTTACAGGTTTGATTTTTTTAGTTAACATGTACACAGTAGATCTGAAGGTTCTTTATAGGTAAACTTAAAATAGATCAGGTCAAGAAAATCATCAACGGTCATTCATTTTTACCAGTCCCACCTTTGGACCATTTTTCAGCAAGTGGGTAAGCATTTTTAAGCACTTACTAAATGTCAGGCACTGTGCTAAGCAGTGGGGATATAAAGACAAAAACATTCCCTGTCCTCAAAGAGTTTGCATTCTAATGAGTGAGAAAGCATGTAAATAACTAAGCACATAGAGAGGTCTATATAGAGTAATCTGAGAAGGGAGTATGCTATTGAGGGGCTGACTGGGAAAGGTTTCCTACACAAGCTAGGATTGGAACTAAGCCTTGATGGAAGCTGGGGAATCTAAGACGCTAGCTAAGGTGAGAAGGGAAAGTATTTTTGTCATTGTTCTAAGATCTATTTTTTCCCCCTAAAGCCAAATACAGTTTCCTTTAAACTTTTATCAAAGGGTAGGACTCTCATCATTTAACTTTACTATTCATGAGGCATTCATAAAAACACCCCGAAAAGCCTAATTCACTTTATCCTTCAGATACTACTGTCACCAAACAGAATCTTGGAAATGTGAAATTTATCTTTTTGAGGCCCTCTTCCCCTTAGTTTCTCTACATGCTTTTGGATCTCCTGTCCCTGACTTGGAAAATATTTCTCTGGGGCAGAGATGTCAAACTCATGTCCAGCAAAACTCTTGAATTCAGTCCAAGCCAGATTAAAATGTCATTTGGAAATGTATCACAAAAATAAATAAAAATACAGTAAAACATAGCTAATGTTAATTTGTGTTTTTCTCAGTCGATACGTCGCCTACAGAGATCTGTATCAGTTGGAGTTTGACACCACTGCTCTAGGGTGTCACAGTAATTCTCTTGTAAAAAGGAGTTAACATGTACCCAATAGACCTGAAGGGATAGTAGCAGAATCCTTCTAGTCAGTTTTGTTGATGTGCTTTAGTTATATTATTCTGTGTTATGTTTATCCTTTATTCTGTATTGTTTATCCTTTGTTAGAATAAATGTCTTAGACATTGGATTTAGAGAATTCATATGTTTTTAGAAAAGACTTAGAAGTTATCTAATCCAACATCCTCATTTTATTGATGAGGAAATTAAGACTTATAAAAGCTAAGTGTGCCTAAGGACATGCTGGAGTTAGTGGTAGAACTCAGGTCTCTTGACTCTCAATTTAGTTTTCTTTATAATTCATCACATTGCTTGTGCCCTCCTCTATTGCCCCAGAGCCCATCCGGGGCAGCTTTTAGGGCTTCATCTGGAGCTGGCACCGAGTGGGTCTGCCTTTCCCCTAATTGCCCCAGATCTTTGAGCAGTGCTTGGAAGGGCCCAGCTGGAGCTGTTTCCAGGTGGAGTGACTTTTTATCACTCTAGGGCTTGTAGGCCTCCTCCTTAATCTCCCTGCAATTTTTTTTAAACTTTTCCCTTTCTGGCAAGACATTGACTTTCTCCACTCCATCCCCACTCCTTCTGGGGGCAACTTGGAGCCCTCATTCCACTCCAACCCTTAGGCCTACTCCTTCCTTTCCCATGATGGTCGGCCCCCTCTCCAAGTTCCTTGTTCTGTGGAGCTGATGCTTTGAATTAAAAGTCATGAAACAGCCCTGAAGATTCCTGGGCCTTGCCATCTTAACTGCAACTCTCTGGGACTTTACATTTTTCCTGTAGATGAATCATCCTATCCTATGTATGTTGTCTCCTCCAATTAAGTGTATGAGCTCCTTGAGAGTAGGGACTGCCTGGTTTTTCTATTTGCATCCTTATCACTCAGCAAAGTGCTTAGCTCATGATATATATGTAATGTTTTTTCATTCATTCATTTTGAAGTATACATTGTACAGTGTTGACGTCCCTTGCCTAAGTAGTTGTGATGTTTTCCAATACTGAAGAATTCCAACCCAGATACTTTATAATGAGTATGTTATTCTTTTTGCTTTCCTAGTGTTCTAAACTTCTTTCTGACACATCAGTAATCCAGTTCTACCCAAGCAAATTTGTCCTCATCACTGATATACTTGATACATTTGGTAAGTGCTGGAAAGATCTAGGAAATGGTTCTTATTTAAAATCATATTGTAGGTTAAGTGGATTTGCTCAAAAAGAACTCATTCTTATTGCCTGTTCCTTTTTGCATTTCATTTAGAGTCCTCTTTTCCCAGATTATTCTCTCTAGTCCCCATCCTTTAACTTTGCCTTCTGGAAACTTAATTTTTAGAGAGTAGAGAGCTTGATTTGGTGCCTGGCACATAACAGACATTTTATATTTCATAAGTGCTACTTGATTAATTGTGTATATAAACATGAAGAAAAGAAAAATGAAGGATGGAATGTGATGTAGAAATTGCAACTCAGAATGTTGGATCTGCTAATCTCAGCTTCATCAATACTTGGGATTACCAGCATGTACCACCATGCCAGGCCAATGACTTTTTCCTGGTTATCTGTTTCCTTTCTTATCCTAGCTACTTTGATTTTATTTGTGTAAAATTTAAAATTTTATGTAATCAAAATTGTCTGTTTTATCTTAGTGATCCTCTTTGTTCCTTGTTTGGTCATGAACTTTTACCTTATCCATAGATTACACAGGAATTATATGACTACAACTACAAAACACTCTTAACAATTACTCTTAGTAATAAAACTAGCCTTAATAATTAGAGAAACATTAATTGCTAATGGGTAGATGAATATAGCACAAATGACAGTATTACCTCCTTATTCAATCCAATACCTGCTATTTAATAGGCAGCTAGGTGGCACAGCAGATAGAGCACAAGACTTGGAGTCAAGAAAACTGGAATTCAAATTTTACCTCAGACACTTACTAGCCCTGTGACCCTGGGCAAGTCACTTAAACTCTGTCTGCTTCTGTTTTCTTATCCACTGGGAAATGAGGATCATAATAGCATCTACTTCTCAGGATTGTTGTAAAGCTAACATGAGATGATGTTTGTCAAACACTTTGCAAACCTTAAAGCAATATATAGATGCTATTATTATTGTTGTTATTATTTTTATCATTATTATTGTTACTCAGTATCTTACGATAGGATTATTCTATAGAGATAGAAAAAAATAATTAAATATCTCTGAAGTTTAGTTTTAAAAACCTGTTAAAATGATTGCCAGTAGTATGTTTTAGAACAACTGTTTCATGACTTGTAATTCATAGTAGCATGATGTAATGAATGTACTGATGAAACAAGAGATTAGCCTCTTTCCCCCTAATTGATACATTTTCTTTTCCTTTAGCACATTTAAATACATAAATGTGAATGAGAGAAAATAAAATAGAAAAAATTAAATAAGTGATTGTGAATTATTGTACGTGTACATGATTGTTATTTGCAGGTTATTTTAAAATCTATACATGAAATTCATCAGGTTTGAAATAGTCATTCTGTGTGCTTTCCCTGGTTCCTTTGAACTTCTTTCTATGGATTTGTTGGAGTTTTGTTGTCCTTTCATAATCTTAATATGTATTTTTTTTTATTATTCACTGTATGATGAGAGTCTTACTATATTTCCTTGTGTTCTTTATAGACATAAGTTCCTATGATAGAGTAATATATCAATATATTTATCTTTTCCTGGATAACATGTGTGTGTATATATACACATATATATCTCAGTAATTTCTTTGGCCCTATCCCAATTATTAGACACATAGTTTATTTACATTATTTTTCACTGATTTATTTAGAATTTTTTGTTATTATAAATAGTACTGCTAGGAATATTTCTTTTAGGATAGTTTTTCCCCTGTCATTAATTTTCCTAAAGTATACTCTATGTAGAGGAATTTCTAGGTTTTGATGAATAAGAACATTTTGGTAGCTCTTATTGTGTTCCAAATTTCAGCATTCCACATTACTTTCCCCCCCAAAAAAATCCAACAAATTCACAGTTATATCAGTAGTGACAAGCATGCCTGGTTTTCTGTAGCCATATTAGCATAGACTTTTATCATCTTTTCCATTTTGAGGCCTGGAAGGTGCTATCTTAGTTGTTTCAATGTGCATTTCTGTAAGTTTTAGAGCATGTGAATTCTTTTTTGTGTGGTTGTCAATAATTTGTGTTTCTTTTTTTGAAAACTGCCTGTTCATATTTATTGATTTTTTTTTTGGAGATTGGCTCTTCTTATAAATTTGTGTCAAATCCTTATGGATTTTGGTTTTTAGACGTACAAAAAATGAATTGCAAAACTCTTTTCCCCACTTTGTTTTTATTTTTAATCTGTATATTAAGGGGATGCTCATCAGTTGGGGAATGGCTGAATAAGTTATAGTATATGAATGTGATAGAATACTATTATGCCCAAGGGGATGGTTTTGGAAAAACCTGGGAAGATGTTTATGAATGGATGCAAAGTGAAGGAAGCAGACCTAGGAGGAAGATTTATACAATAACAACAATAACAATGTTGCAAATATAAATAACTTTGAAAGACAGGAACTCTAATCAACACAAAGATCAGCCACAATTCCAAAGGATTCATGATAAGACATGCTATCCACTTTCAAGTAGAGACTTGATGGACTCAGAGTACAGATCAAAGCATTTTCTTTTTCTTTTCTTTCTTTCTTTCTTTTTTTTTTTGACATGGCTCATTTGGGAATTTGTTTTGCTTGACAGTACATAATTGTAACTAATTTTTTTTCTTATTTCTCAATGAATGGGGAAGAGGAGGTGAAAGGGAGAGAATTCAGAACTGAAAATAAAATTAAATTAAATTAAAAAATAAAATTAAAAGATTGAGGAAAAAAATATTTGCTGAAATGTAAATATAATAAAGGTCTCACATCAGGAATCCATAAGGAACTGACATGGTACACCAGAAAGAATGATACTAGCCTTAGAGTCTGAGAACATAGGGTTGACTCTTGGGTTTTATTACTACCTCTTTGATCTAGGCCACTTCTTTAACCTCTCTGGGCCTCAGCTTTCTCACCTGTAAAACAGGTTGGATAAGATGATTTCTAAGATTTTTCCTGCTCTGAATCTATGGTAATTTGTTTGCCTAGGGGTATAGCTGCTAGGAGTTGAAAGGAATTAATTTTTGCCACACCAACTAGAATCACTGAGTGAATGATAAAAGCATTTATTTAGGGTGTACTATGTACCAAGCCTGTTCTAAGTTCTGGAGACACATGTAGATAAACAAAATGTTCCCTGTTCCCAATGTGTTTACATTTTTTTAAACTGAATTTTTATCATTATTTTTTGTTTTTTATGTTGCCTACATTTCCCCTATATCCTTAACTTTCCCCCTCCCAGAGAAACCTGCCCATGTAACAAGAACAACAACAAATTTAAAGAAAAAATAAGAAATAACAAAAAAATCAGTGAAACAAATGAATACGTTGAAAAAAACTCTGAAAACATATTCAGTGCTCCACACTCATTGACCTCCAACCTCTGAAAAGAAGTGGGAGTTGTCTTCTCATATCTCTGTGACTATAAGCTTGTTCTTTGTGCTACTTTTATTTTTGATTATTTTATATTCTTTCCTGTGGTAGTGTAATATTGTTTTTCTGGTTGTGCTTACTGTACTGTGTATCAATTTATAGGTCTTCCCATGGTCCTATATTCATATTGATAATTTTTTACAGTCATATTCCATTACATTCATGGCCCACAATTTGTTATTCCCCAGTTGATGACCTTCTACTTTGTTTCCTATTCCTTTGTACTACAAAAAGTGCTACTTAAAAATATTTGGTGTAGATGAGATCCTTTTAAAATGAAATAGTAATTTGTTATAAAATAGTTAAGAAGTTATGGAAAATACTTTATTGCCTTGATTTGATTATAGTAAGTCATTGGCATTCTTATCTTTCTGGGACTATTAAAAACCAGTTTTTAAAGTAGTGAGTTTTTTTTTCTTTGCTTCTGATCTTCACGTGTGTATTTTGGCTGGGTTCTATAGGAATGACTCCTATACAGTAACACGGTTCCTTAGCTTTTCTGTTTTTCTCTCCCTTATCACAACCCAAATTTTAATATTTTTTTTTATCTTCCTGCTGTTGTCATCTCCAGGTGCAATACAGAATATCCATCGAGTAAATGAAGAGTATCAAAGCTCCTTTCAGCCTTGATGTTTTCTGACCTCTGTCCTATAGAAAAGTCAGCGTGCCATTTTATTTGTTGCATATTGTCTGCAGGAAAGTCAAAGATTTACTTTAAATTTTATGCTCACTAGGTGGCAGCATGATATAACAAGAAAACATTCAGGAAGATGATGATGAAAGGAAACTTTACATGTATTATTTCTTTGTCAGTTGTATAATGTCTTAATGCCATGTCATTTTCTCCCTTCCCACTGTCTCTCCCCACCCTCCCCAGGAAAATTAGTGTACGAACGAATCTTTTCCATGTGTGTGGACAACCGAAGTGTCTTATCAGGTAATGTCAAAGATGGCCTGCTACCTTGTAATTCTATGGCTTTCATTATTGCATTAATTTTGGGTATACAGTTAGTCTCTTGAACATATGTTTTATGTGTAAAACATATTGAGCTGTTCTACTTCTATCCATTTTTTGATGTGTTCAGAAAAACACTTCATTAACAGATTTCTGAATAGATTCTATCTTATAAGAACCCTAGAGATTTTTAAATGGGTCAGGTTAATAGGGAAAGTAATTTGAATTTGCTTCATGTTTTTTGAACACAAGAGAATTAGATGAAACTAGATTTTATTTTATGCCAATTTTTTTTGTCTCCACTTGACATTTCTAAAATCCTTGCTGATTCTTAAGAACTTTTTTTTGCTTGACGTATATTTATATATATAATACATAATAATTCAAATAGGTTTAATAATAGTGGATAATAGGTATATTTATATATCCTAAATTCTTAGGAAGAGTGATCTATCAGTCTGTCTCAACAGGTAGCCCTAACCTATCAATTCTTACCTATTTACTCAAATGAATCTGTGATTTTATTGAAGTGGATATTTCCTCCGTCAATACAGATGGAAGATCCCAATACATCTCTGTCTGCCTATCTTGTCCATATTCTCTTCTGGGGGTGTGTTCCTTAATTTTCCTTGACATTTTCAAAGATACCAGTGAAGTGCATTGGTTGTCTACTTGTTATCCATTGTCATTACTGCCTAACTAGCTCTTTTTGTTTTGAACATCAGTTTCTTTGATGATCTTCTTTAATGTTGTAAGTTAATTATAATGATTAGGCATTTGATAGCATAGAATTTAAGAAGTTACTTCTTCCATTTTTACTTTGCCTTTTTTCTCTTTTTCTCGCTATATTACTATTTTATAAAATCCTTATGTAGAGTCATGTCCTGGGCCCTCTTTTCTTCTCTCTCTATACTGCTTCATTTGCTGATCTCACCAGTTGCCATGGATTTAATTACCATCTGTATATTGATGATTTCAAATCTACCTATCCTGCCCCAATCTCTCCACTGGCTTCCAATCTTGCATCTTGAGCTGCCTTTCAGACGTCTCAAAGTAGATGTCCAGTAGACATCTTAAAGACTTAAACTCAACATGTCTAAACTAGAATTCATTATCTTTACCCCAAACCGTCCCTCCCTTCCCACCTGCATCTTCTCTATTCCTGTAGAGGGTAACACTGTCCTCTCAGTCTCTCAGGCTCATAACCTAGGAGTTTTCCAGGACTCTACTATTTCTCACCCCACCCGATCCAAGCTACTGTGAAGGCCTGTCAGTATCACCCTTGCAGCATCTTCCAAATATGCCCCCTTTTCACCTCTGAAACAGTTTACAGGTCCTCATTACCTCACACCTTGATTATTAAAGTAGATTGCTGTTGGTCTGCCTGCTTCAATTCTCTCCCTACTTCAATTCATCCTCCATTCATTTTCCTAAAACGCAGGTCTGATCACGTTACTCCCCCTATTCAGTAAACTCCAGTGGTTTCCTATCACCTTCAAGAGGAAATACAAAATGCTCTGTATGGTATTCAAAGCCTTTCATAACGCAGCCCTCTCCTACCTTTCCAGTCTCCTTACATCTTCTTACTCTCTGGCACATGGCTCTTCCATCCAGTGACACTTGCTTTCTGCTATTCCATGAATGAGATATTTCATCTCTCAGCTCCTTGCGTTTTATTTTCTCTGGCTGTCCCCTGTGCTTGAAATGCTCTGCCTCCCCTGTTCTGACTACTGACCTCCCTGACTTTCTTTAAGTTCCAACTAAAATCCCACCTTCTACAGGAAGCCTTTCCCAATCCGTCTTAATTTTAGTGCTTCCCCTCTTGTAGTTATTTTCCACTTACATTGTATATACTATAGCTTGCTTTGTATTTGTCTGTTTGCATGTTTTCTCTTCCATTAGATTGTAAGCTCCTTGAGGTCAGAGATTGTCTTTTTGTCTATCTTATCACAGTGCCTACCTGGCACTTAATAGGTGCTTAATAAATCTTTGCTGAATGAATAAATAAAAGGTAGGAGCAGTGCTTCTTCTTTATTTTTACATCTTGAAAGAGGGCTGAATTGGGAGATGATGAGATTCTGTAGTTATAAATAAATCAACCTGGTAGTAATGCCCTTTTCCTTTTATTCATTGTTCTTGCTATTCTTGATTTCACTTAATTTGCAAATCCTAGTACTCTTTCTTTGAAAGTGTTACCAGTCCAAGATTGAGGCAGTATGTTTTAGTGAAAGAGCATTGGAGGAGTCAAGAATCCTGGGTGATGCAATTGTAGACAAGTCATTTTGTCTCTTGGATTCTGTTTCTTCATTTGTCATTTGAGAGAGTTGAACTCACTTTCACAGACATTTATTAAGAACGTATTTGGTTCCAACATTTTATGATTTTATGCCTTCCCAGTCACTTCTGGCCCTGTGAGGCTGGTAACATGCATTTCACATTTTAGCTTCATATTCCTGTCAATCCTGAATATTAAATTGTGTTTTTGCAGATTGCTGATTGTGCATTATTGTGTTTACCAGATAGTTTTCAGATCTAATTTCCAAGATTAGAATGTTTGTCAGAGTACAGTGGGGAAAAGAACTCTCTGAAATAAGTAATGTCTAGCTTTTTTGATAGCATTTAAAGACATTTTTGCTCTCATAGTTCATTTAGCCTCTTGGCTACTAGATTATTTCATGCTCAGTTCAGTTTTCTGGTGTTTTCCTAGAAGAATACGTATATGTTATCTAATTGTTTTTTAAATTTTCCAGTACTCCCCTCTTCATTCCATTGAACTCTTCCTTTTAACCCAAAAAGCAGTTAAGTAAAACACAGTGACCACATCTGACAATATATGTTGCATTCCAATACCTACAAATACCTGTATTTCTACTATGCAGAGCATGGTTTTTATTTTATTTATTTTTCTATTTTACTTATTTATTTTTAGTTTTCAACATTTATTTCCATAAGAGTTTGAGTTTTAAATTTTCTCCCCCTCGCATTTCTTCCCTTCCACTCCGAGACAGCATATAATTGATGTAGGCTCTACATATACATTCATGTTAAGCATATTTTCCCATTAGTCATGATGTAAAGAACAGTTAGAACTAATAAGAGGAACCATGAGAATGAAGCAATAAAGCAAAACAGCGAAGGAGAAGGAGATCTGGAGTTTATGAACTTTAAAAAAATATTTTGGGGGCAGCTAGGTGGCAAAGTGGATAGAGCACCAGCCCTGGAGTCAGGAGGACCTGAGTTCAAATGCGGCCTCAGGCCAAACGCTTGACACTTACTAGCTGTGTGACCCTCAGCAAGTCACTTAACCCTGATTGCCTAAAAAAAAATATTTTGATAACTGTCACTATAATTGATTTCCCTTGTAATGTATATATTTTACGTATTTAAGAAAATTATTCTGAGAATAAAGGTCCATAGGCTTTACCTGATTGGGTGGGGGTATTCGTGACACAAATGATGCTCAAGAACACCTATTGTAGAGGGTGCTGTGTTTCAGGATCTGTTTTCCTGAACAAGACTGCTTGCTATATTTAGTTAACTGTCAGATTCCTTTTAGTTTTTGTTTTAATTTACGTTATTGTAGTCAGATATATTGTTTTTCTTATTCTGCTTGCTTTACTTTGTACAGTTTGTACAGATTTTCCCGTGGCTTCTAGAATTCCTAACAGTTAGTGTTATTGCACAATATCATTCCATTAGATTCATATATTATGGTTTGCTTAGCCATGTCCCCATCCATGCATTCTTACTTTGTCCCCATTTTTTGCTATCATATACACACATGCATACATACACATTATATACTTACATACCTCCTTATCCATATACATGCATACATATGTAGGATTTTCCTTTCTTCTTCTGACTTCCTTGAGGTATGTGATCAATAAGGGGAATTTCTTGGTCAGAACGTATATGAGTAGTTGAATAATTCTTCCCACAAAACTCCAAATTTGTGTGCAAAGTGGTTGGACCAATTTGCTACTTTCAAGGGTATGCAGTAGTAATACCTTAGTGTTTTAATTTTAATTTCTCCTATTAGTGATTAGACTAATCTTTCATGTTTGTTTGCTACTTTGCATTTCTTCCTTTGAAAATTGTTTGTTACTATCTTTCACAACTTATACATTGGGGAATAAATCCTGGTCTTATATTTGTGTCAATTTCCTTTATATTTTGGATATTAGACTTATTAATGATATTTTATGCAGAATTTTTTTTAGCAGTTGCTCTTTATCCTAGCTACATTAATTTTGTTTATTCTAGAGCTTATAAATTTTTTCACAGTTGAAATTATCTTTCTTTTTTATGATTAACTCTTGTTTGGCTAAGAGTCCCCCTTCTCCAAGTTCTAGTTGTGGGATTCCCTCTTTGCTTTCTCCTGTAATTTTTATAGGGAGTGATTTTTTATATTTAGACATGTATTCTTTTGAAATTTATTATCACACATAGGCAGCTATTGGCATAGTGGATAAATTGCTAGAGGTGGGGTCAGGAAGATCCAAATTCTAATACTACCCTCAGACACTGATTAGCTGTGTGGCTTTGAACAAATCACTTAACATCTCTCAGACTCAGTTTCTTTATCTATAAAATGGTAATAATAATAGTACTTATCTCTTAGGGTTGGAGTGAGGATCAAATGAGATAATATGTAAAAGTACTTTGCAAATCTTAAAAAGTGCTATATAAATGCTAGTTATTAATTATTACATGGTATAAGATTTTGTGTTAAATATAATTTCTTCCAAATTTCATTCCAATTTCCCCAGCATATTAAAGTGATTCAGTTTTGCAAGCAATAATTTTTATGTTCCAGACAAATTTCTAATTAACATGTAAAAATTTCTTAACATAAAAATGTATGCTATCCCAAACAGGTATTTCTTTCCTTGACTTTTGGTGTTTTGCACCGTAGCTTTCATTTTATATGCACTTATAGTGGTAGAAGGATTCTGTATAGTAGAATGTAGTCTCTTTGAGGCTGGGCAGATACTTGAGTTTTTTGTCTTTGTATTCCTGGCACTTAGCCAGTGCCATGCTGGTATGGATTTAATAAATGTTTGTTTTTCTTGTTGTGAATATTTGAGGATGGAAATCGGCAATAATGAATTACATTTTCTTCCCCTCATATTTCCACATAAGCTCAATGTCATGATGGAAAAACAAGCAGACTAATTAGAGCAGGAAAGGAAAAATCTCTGCTCTTTGTTACTCAAGGGTTTTTCTAGATATAATTTAAGAAATGTGATTATCCGTCCCTCTTGAAAAAAAGTCTCATCTTACACAAAATAACCTTTTTTTTTTCTAAAATGGTCTACTGGGCTATTTTCAAACTTAGTGCCAAATTTTTATTATTGAATAACTGCAGATATACACTTAGCATCTAATCTTTAGACTTAGTGCAACACATCCATAGTATAATTTCCAGTATATTTGAATTGTGTTAGAGGATGATATAATGGAAAGAACCCTAGAATAGCGGACTAGAAACTTGGGTGTTAGTCCTTGCTGTGCCACAAACTTTATGTGTTACCTTGAGCAAAGCATTCTACATCTTGAAGCCTCAGTTTCTTTTCTGTTAAATGAGAGTTGATATAGGTGATATACAGGGCCTCATGATTTGAAATTTCATGCTTTAATTATATGAAGGGAAACAATTCAATACTGACAGTTCACAGAGACCTCAAAAAATACCTCCAAGCCTCTTTGTCTAGTCTTTCTGGAGAGAAGTAAGTACTTTTGAAAGTGATCACATCTTTCTGTGTATTAGTTAGGATGTTTTCATTACTTTTTGAACATGGCAAGTATGGTACTTAATGTTGTAAGAATGAAGCCTATCAAAAGAGTTCAATGTAGAAAGATGCTCAATATTATATCTTTTAATTTCAGGCAGCTATGATTAGTTATTGTTCTTTGCTGTCAAAGCACTGAGTTTTTCTTATTGGTGAATGTATCTAAAGCTTATTACTCTAATCTCTCATTAAGTGCTAGGAACAAGGGAGAAAGATCCCCTGTAAGAATTAATTTGCTACTCTAAAACCTAATTAAATGTCTCCTTTTTGGTTCAGTTTTAGATGTAGCTGGGTGCTATTATGTTTTGGAAGATAATTTAAAGTAAACAATTACACATTAGTTTATTTGTTCTCTCGCTGAGAAATCTTTATGTAATGGTCTTTTGGTGATGTTACTCAGGCCCCAGGTGAGTAAAATATTAGTGTACTAGTGTTGGAATTCCCTCTCCAGGTTTAATTCCACAAGACTGTGGCATTTCTGGCTAATGTGATGCTTTCAGAAGTTGAGATTTCATTTTAAGCAGTTAAATACATTATAGATTTCTTAAATATTTCAATGTCTCAGGATGTACGTTTCCTAGTTTGTATTGTAGAAATCAATTGCTTGTGAGTATAGAACATATCTGTGTCATTGGAGGAAGAAGAAGAGAGAAGAGGAAGCCTGAAGATTAGGATTCTTGTATCTCGGTTCTATGTTTCATGGCAAAGATTTCACTGTGATTGAGTGGGCAGGAGCAGAATCCCTTACATAGGGAGGAAAATTCTTATGGATATTCACTTTTGTGTTACAGATCACTTTTCTCCAGAGAATGTAAATGACACAGCCAAAGAAACTTGCTTGAATTGGTTTTTCAAGATTGCTTCAATCAGGGAACTTATTCCCAGATTGTATCCTTTTTTCCTGATTACTTTAAAGATAGGCCGAAAGATCTCTTCTGTTAACAGAAGCCATGTGATAAACATTCTGTGGAAAATTTAGTCATTGTTGCTTACCCAGTGGTTTGTTAGTGTGAAAATATGAGAACACACTAAATTAGAAGCTCTTTGCCTTCTGATGAAGAATATGACTCTGTCATTAACTGAATCTTAATTGCATAGTGTATTGCTTATGCCCTGATAGTTTTAATTATAAAATCCCCAATTTCCATTTTATTTCATAATGTAATGAGATAACATGATTTTCCAAAGTTTATTTAAAATATAATTTTACAAATTAGAAAACAAAATATAATAATAGTAATTGCTAATATTTGTATAGAACTTTGAGTTTGTCAGACACTTGACATTTATTATCTCATTTGGTTGTCACAACAATCCTGTGAGGTAAGCATAAAATTGGGCAGCTAGGTGGTACAGTGGATAGGGTACTGGGCTTGGAGTCAGGAAGACTCATCTTCCTGAGTTCAAATCTGGCCTCAGACACTTAGACTCAGACACTCAGACACTGTGTGACCCTAGGCAAGTCACTTAACCCTATTTGCCCGTTTCCTCATCTGTAAAATGAACTGGAGGAGGAAATGGCAAATCACTCCAGTACCTTTGCCAAGAAAACTCCAGATGGGATCACGAAGAGTCAACCATGACTGAAAATGACTGAACAACAAAAAAAGCATGAAAATACACAAAATATCTGCCAACTAAATTCTGTGATTTCTAGAAGTTATAGGTAGCTAGAGTACGAGAGTAGCAGCATTGTTTTAATTCATAACCAGTTTTGTTCTCTCTTCTTCCCTACCAAGGAGGATATCCCATAAATATTTTTTCCTTAAACATTTTGTTGTAGCTATGTGGAAGCAGCCATCCTGAACTGCAACAAGTTTTTGTCCAAAACGTAAGCATGGAGCCAAATGTGTAGAACAGCAAAAATTTTGAAGCATAGTAATTATATTTTCATAACAAATTTGTTGAGGCTGTTGTGTAGGCTATAGTTCTACTTTTAGTAATGACAGTAAAATATTTTAATAACATTGCCAAATACTGAATAGATTATAAATTGAGTGCAGGAACTGTATTATGTATTACTTTATATCCCCAAAGTGCCTAGCACAGTAGCATGCATAGCATAGGTTTCTGATAAATTTTTACTGATTTTATTTGTTATTCAGTCTAACTGGGTTGAAGTTGGATCATGGTATATCTGGTACAATTTTTTAGGGTGATATTGGTGCTGAAGAAACATTTGTGATGGATGATAACTTCCCTGGGTAGGAAACACCAGAACCATAGAATAAAGGCATCATTAGTAACATTGGTTTACACTACCCTGTAAGCTAAGCCTGATGGTAGTGTATTCTGCCGGAGAGTGAAGGCAGCAAAAAGACATGAACTCAGTGTGAAGGAAGAGAATGGGAAAAAATAGTGCTTAAAGAGAAGGGAAGTAGAGTGCCAAGCAGATAGAAACTAATAAAGTTGTGAAAGTGAAATGAGGACTCAATTAAGACATCATAGAAATAAATCTTTTACCTAAGTAGTTTATTGAACAGTAACAGTTATATTTCTAGTTGGAGATAATTGATAGAATTATACCAATTCATCAAAGACTTATAAAAATCTGTTTTGTGCAAACTTGATCAAAGTTCAATGATTAAAAATGGGACACAAAATGTTTGATAGAAATTAGAATATAATGATGGCAAAAGAAAGGTCTTTACAAAATGCTATAAAATTTTCTTGAGAGAGAAAGCTCTTTCATTTCGGGAGGTGGAGGATTAGGCAAGATTGTATGGAGGACCAGGCAGGCATCTGGCCTAAGTCTTGAATGAAATAAAGTATTTCATCACGTAGAGATAGGAGGAAGTATATTTCCATCTTAGGGACAGGTTATAAGAATGCAAGACAGGAGAGTGGAAAAGCAAAAGCCCAGTTTGGCTGGAATACTGAATTCCTGAAATGAAATAGTATGAAAGGAGACTGGAAAAGTAGATTGGGGCCAAATTATGAAGGGCTCTAAGTGCCAGGCTAATGAGTTTATATTTTTTCCTTTATTCTGGGGGAAGCAGTTAAAGGATTTTAAACTACAAAGTGACATGATCAGATCTGTGCATTAGGAAGATTATTTTGGCAGCTGTATGAAGGATGGATTGGATAAGGAAGCATCTGAAGGCTATCATAATAGTCTGTACCGGAGGTCTGGACTAGGTTGGGGCCAGTGTAAACATAGGAAAAAGGATAGATAGAAGAAAATGTTGAGGTAGAATCAATAAGACTTGGCAATCTCTTGGCTATTGGGGGTTAGGAAAGAGAAAAGAGTCAAATATGACTTGACCTTGGCCTGGAGCTTTTCGGTTTAGGTGGTTGGGAATTTTAGTGGTGCCATGAATAGAATTAGATAATTATTGTTGATCAAGAATGACTTGGACATGTTGAGTTTGAGGTGTTGGTTGTTGGAACATTAATGTAAACATCTAAAGAGGGAGTTGGAAATGCAGGCATGGAATCCTGGAGAGATGAGGGCTAGGTGTATAGAGGTGAGTCATTTGCATAAGAGGTGATTATTGAAATCGATAAGCATTTCTTCAATACCTACTATGTTCGGAGTGTTGTAATAGGGATGCATGATATTGCTGAAGGAGGGAGTATAGTCTCGAAAAAGAGAGGAGTCAAAGGCTGGATAAAGCATTGAGAGTTAATTTAGTGAATGGGAAAAGGAACATGAATGAATGAATGAGTGAAACTAAGAAGGAATAATTGAGGAGGCAAGAAGAGAACCAATGAAGAATTATATTATAGAAGCTGAAAGAGGGGGAATAATCAGTAGTGTCAAATACAATCAAAAGAGCATTGAAATTTGTAATCAAGAGGTCATTTTTGTCCTTTGAGAGAAGAGTTTTACTTGAGTGGTGCAGTTGAAAGCCAGATTACTGGGAGTTGGAGTGAGTTGAACAAGTGGAGGCAAATGAGTATAGACCCAGTCTTTTATTTTTTAAAAATTATTATTTTTTAATTTAATTTCATTATTAACTAATTCATTAATTAATTTTAGTGAAGGAGAGGGGAGGGAAAAAGACAATAGCTTGAAGAAGATAACAGGGTTAAGGGGAAGGTGTTTTTTCCCCCCTCTTGGCACAGAGAAAAAAAGTCAGTAGATAGGCTAGAGTGACAGAGAAGAGGAATGATTGATAAAGCAAGGTCTTGGAGGGAACAGTTGCGGATGGGATTAAGAATACAAGCTTTAGCAAGGGCATGGTGGAGTCTCATCTTACCCTCAGAGACTGCTAAGGAGGAGAGAAGGAGAAAAGATATATAACATTTTGAGGTATGGAGGGAGGGAAGAAAATCTCAGCAAAATCTCCTGGGAGCAAGGGTGAGTAGGCTTGAAAGGGGTAAAGGATTACAGTAGTTGTGGGGGGTGGGGGAGGTGGAATGTGTACCAAGAAACAAAAACAATATCTTTTAAAAGTCTTAAGATATTGACCTAGATTGGTGCCTAAAATTTAAATAAGAATTCTTAATTTACATTAAAAAATTAATGATATAATTTTTAAATCTCTGTGTGTAATACTGACTTTTTTGATCCTTTTACTTCTAACAGAGGAATTTCAGAATGTCTCCCACGACTGACATGTATGATTAGAGGAATTGGCGACCCTTTGGTTTCAGTATATGCCCGAGCATATCTGTGCAGGGTAGGCTTTGATTTAGTGAGTGCTATTTAAAATGTATGTATGTGATGTTTCCTTGAATGCTCACATTTTTCCTCTGCCACTTCATGAGTCATTGAAAGAATGACTTTGTTAGCTGCTAATTCTAGTAAATGAATCTTTAACAGAAAGTACTCCTTAGGCCATGGTTGTTGTTTGAAAAATTAATTTCACAATAGTGTAACTTGATTAACTAATTAAATAGAATCATAAAAATCAACTTTTTTCTGGGTTAGTTTTTCTCAGTTCTTCCCAGGATGGAAGGCAAAAATAGAATCCTCGTCATTAGATTGCTTTTCATTGACAGGAAAGACATTAAAAAAACCCAATGACTTTTATTTGGTGCTTTTGTGTTCATGTTGAAGTAGGGAGTTAGGAACAACATCATTGCTACTCGCAAAGTGTGGAGACTCCCTTTATTTAGGACAGTGTGACAAGATGCAAAATCTGTCATGGCATTGACTCTGTGCTTTACTTGTGAATCAGTCCAGGGTTTCAGTTTGCCCCTCAGTTATGGGCTATGTTGATTGTGAAGTATTGAAAACCCTCTAGTTCTTTAAGTATTTAAATATTTCAGTTTCCATTTAGAAATAAAATGTTTTGGCTAACCTGTGCCAGGTTTCTCTTGTAGTTCAGTGAACAATGTTTGCTGGTTTTATCAACATCACTATTATTATAATAGTCCTAAAGGTTTGTGACTCTAGTTCAATTCAGCAAGCACTTATTAAGTATCTACTCTGTAACAGGCTCTATTTTGGGTGCATGGAGTACAAAGACAAAAGTGAAACAGTCCCTGCACCCTCCCCCCCAGGGCAATATTCTGTTGATGGAGATAGTAGCCTCACGTTGTTTTGATAGAGACACCATTTCATTGGTTTCTTTGGCTCAATATTTTCATTACCTCGAAGCTAATCTTTTGATGATGAGCCTTTTAGAATTTAGCTTGGTTGGGTCTTGGACAGTAGTCTGTCAAGACAGTGTTTCAAATCATTCCAGCTTGATAGGACTTGCCCCAACTTGTATTTTGGTGGTATAGCCTTTGAAAACCCAGGGTCACTGCTAAGCCAAGTAGAGATATCACAATAATGGTGATATCAGCATAATTAGTTTTTAAAACAAATTTAATGATTAATGAGATCCTGGTGAACATTAAAATGCTTTGAGAACAAAACTATAGTTTATGTTATTAAATCAAATTTAATATTAAATCAGATTTAAGTCTGTAGGTTTTGATTTCGTCTTTTTCCAGGATATATAGCAATGCTGGAGTAAGTGTAGTCTCTTAACTGGTCACAAAAGAAATCAGATAATCACAATTGCCCTCAGAATAAATGAGATACCCACTTTAAAGGAGACCTTTAAAGATTTTTTTTTTAATACTGACAATAGAAGACAGAAATAGTCACTGTAAGGCTGGGATTTTTTTCTCTTTTCTCTCCATGTATTTCCACACATTTAAAGCATGTGGTATGTTTTCATAACCTACATGGGAAGGTCATGTATACACATTGTTTTCCCCAAGGCTGCCGAGTTTTGAATTTATCAAGAGTCAAACAGTCTCTTAATTGGTCAGCATTTAGATTGTACTAGGCAGTTTATCACAGTAAGCTAATATATTTAAAATGACTCTTCTTGTACCTTAATGCTGTTTCTTGCTTGTGAAAAATCAGTTAGATGGGGGAAAAAACCTTGTTCTTCTAGATTTATATTATCTTAAAGAAATGAGGAAAGCTAGGAGGTGATAATGTTACAAAGTATCTTTTAGTATTCAGTAGTGGCTGTAACTTTAAAATGTTGCCTCTCAGGAGTGAGAGACTAAATGGTGATAAAGATAGATCCTGCCTTTGATGTCCTAATAAATCTAGGACATAAATAAATTCCCCACATTGTGTAGATATAAAGGCTTTAAGAGTGTGATAGCCCATTAATTAACTGGGGAATAATCTGAGACAGATGTAGAAAGCCCTAGTGTGGGAGATGAACACTGTATCAGTGTTGCACTGGGGGAAAGTGATCCTTGCCCAAAGCTGAGTCCAAGCTACTCATTTGCTTTCGGTGGGAAGGAACAAACAAAAGATTTGAGTGGGCAGCATGGGGTGGGGGTGGGGGGTGGGGTGGGGGACGGGTACTGGGGAGCTGTTTATAAAAGGAAAGTATGATTAACTTTTCTTCTTGAGTCATGTCTCCCTCTTTTCTTGTGCTACTTGTTTTCAATTCTTTTCTTGGCTGCTGATGGTGCCTAACAGATAATTATTCCCTCTTTTATGGTATGATTAAGTCCAAATTGAGGCAGTCAAAATATAATGCAACTTTATGTGACATTTCTCTTCAGATGGCTTTTATTCAGTGTTCTTACCCCTCAACATTTCACTTTTTATATACATTATTCAGAGGGCTAGTTGATCTTGAGGATCAACCTTTCTCAGGTGAATTCAAAGTGATTTACAGATTTTGTCTCACTAAGCTTCCTATTGTTTCTATTGAACATCCTCACTTCACGGAAGCTATTTTTCGAATTGCATTTAGTGATAAAGCTGGAATTTTCAAAGTGCTTTGATTCCCAACTTTATCAGCTACTTTTATGTGGAAAGATCTCAATTTCATGTAGGTTTTTCAATTTTCCACTCCCACTTTTTTATCCCACAGCTTTTCACATATATGCTAACACACATTTATTACAAACCCTGTAATTAACTAGCTTATCTCGGCAACTACATATTTGAAACAGCTGTTTTGAATAACTGATTCTTGTAATTGGATTTATACTGTAATAATGCTTCACAATATGTTTTATGTTGAACATTATTTTTTAAAAAAGTAAAAATGTACTTCTTCAAGTGATGATTCTGCAAGGAGCTAATTTGGTGTAACAAAAGGAATTAATTTAGTATTTAAAGTGATCTTAAGCTCCATCAAAATACAATGTCTTTTCTTAGCATGGAGGGAACCCCGAGTTCACAAAGCCTATACCATTCCAATGCAAGCTCTGGCTGATTGTATCAAGCAAGAAGAGCTTTGATTGTGAGACTGGCTATAGACTGTTAGAAAACCAGTTTAGTTATTTTTTCCACAGATTTAATCCCAGAAGTTTGGCCTCTAGGAGGTGGTCAGACTTTTTTTTTGGGAGGAGGCAGAGAAGAGAAGGATTGCCATGGCAGTTCACTAAGATGGTCTGCTAAGGCCAACCAATTATAGTTTACATCTGTAGAGGAAGTAACCATAGCAGTGAAACATTAAAGTAAAACATAATGAAGGTCTCTCTTGGTTGCTTGGTTATCTTCTTACAAATGAGAGACATCAGTTGTACTTTCTCTAGAAGGAGAGAATATCATAGACAAATTAAGCAATATATTCTACTTTGGAGTTTTCTCTTTATTGATTGGTTCCTTGGACATCTACTGCTGGGAAGCTCAAAGATGATTTTACTTTGATTTGTCTGTAGGTTGGGATGGAAGTGGCTCCACATCTTAAAGAAAGCCTAAATAAGAACTTTTTTGATTTCCTCCTTACATTTAAACAGGTAAGAAAACTTTAAAAAAAAAAACCTAATTAATGGGTCAATTATATGACAAGCTTATTATCTTATTAATCAATCCAATTTTGTCTTCCAAAATGAAAATGCATTATAGCCTTTAAATTGAGTTTATGCTGAGAAATTGTGAAACCACCTATTATTGGCAATTAAAATGTATTGATTATACTGACCAAGTATAGGTTATTAAAAATGTGTGTGTTAACAGGACTGATCTCCAGTTGATGAGTTTTTTTCCTTGGCATCTTCTATTTTTTTCAGTTTACTAGCCTTGCAGTATATTATTTCCAAATCAAATGAGCTAAGTGAGATTGGAAGCTTTTTGGCATATTTTTTCTAGCTTTATCAGGACAACTGGAGATGGCCCAGGATACAGTGGGAGACCTTGGCCCTTTTAAGCTAAGGTCTTTTCAGGTTCTCACCAATTCACTCTGAAGTTCATAGATTGGACAACAATAAGTCCCTGCCCAAGCATGGTTATTTTTTGGCCCTCTTGGATCTGAGTGAATGTAAATAATAACTGTTTCTCTTTTGGCCAGTAACCTGAGGTTCTTCCCCTCCCAGTTTGATATTCTTTTTTTTTTTATTTAAGGAGCCATCCCTTGACTCACTTCTTAAAGAGTCCTATTCACTGAATACACTGTCACCTCACTTAAAGGGAGAACTTGAAAAAACTTTAGCTTAAAAGGGCCAGGGTCTCCCATTGTATCCTGGTCATCTCCCGTCATCTTGATGAATATCTGGCCACTACACCCAGATGACTTTGGAGCAGAAAGTGAGGCTAGTGACCTTGCGCAGCCCTCCCTCACTCAAATTAAAGTCAGTTGCTAGTCATGTCGTCATCTCCCTGATGTCTTCTTCCAGAACGAAGGACAAACACAAAATCTAGTTTTAACAACTTGAGAGAGGAATATGCAAAAATATCCATATAAGTATGCATTATTCATTGATTATTTTTTCTCTTTGGTGTATTACTTTTCTATTCAGAAAAGTAATGTGTGTGGGTATGTGTGTGTATGCACACACATACATATTTATTTTGTTGTCTAGTTGTTCGGTCATGTCCGACTCTGTCCATTGGGTTTTCTTGGCAAAGATACTGCAGTGGTTTGCTATTTCCTTCTCCAGTGAATTAAGGCAAAGACAGGTTAAGTGACTTGCTCAGGGTCACACTGCTAGGAAGTATCTGAGGCTGGATTTGAACTCAGGTCTTCCTGACTCCAGGCCCAGCCTTTATCCACTGAGCTATCTAGTTGCCCCATCTACATAGTAATGTACATAAATAAATGTATCTTTATACTACCATTTATATTAATTTAATTAATATATATTTATATATAAGTAAATATATATATAATTTTTATGTGTGTATGTGTCTCCTTTAGATTCATGGGGATACAGTTCAGAATCAGTTGGTGGTGCAAGGTGTGGAGATTCCATTGTATCTTACTTTGTACTCTCCTGCTATTGATTGGATTTTGCAGTGCATTGCTTATCATGCTCCTGAGGTAATTTCCTTATATAAATACTTTAAAATGAAAGTTCATAGATAATACACTATGATTGTTGTTGTTATTATTTTTTGGGGGGTGAGGCAATTGGGGTTAAGTGACTTGCCCAGGGTCATACAGCTAGTGAGTATCAATCATGTGTCTGAGGTCTGATTTGAACTCAGGTCCTCCTGACTTCAGGGCCAGTGCTCTATCCACTGTGCCACCTAGCTGCCCTTACTATGATTATTTTTAAACTGGATTTTTTTCTCTGAAGAAGGTATGTTGTCAAAAATAACTTTTGACACATCTTCTTTGAAGCATTTTTAATATTTTGTACAGATTCAGGATTTGGGGTTATATTTGTCACAAGAATGATATGGCAATTGAAAATAATTTAAATACTTTAATATTTAAAATTATAATTAATTTAATTATATTCAAATTTAAATAATTTAAATGAAGATGTTGCTATATTGAAATGATAAGTTGTCCTTGATTCTGGGGAAAGTAAAGGTTAAAAATGTGTCAAGAACTAAACTTCCTTTAGTTTCTTTCTTATTTAATGCTGAGTAAAACTGCCAAGAGTCTAATCTAAGAAATCTCAGGTGATTGAGAAGAGTCAAGTCATAGAACTTTGTGAGTTGCCACACAACCTTCCCCAACCACCTCACGCTACAGTGTTCACTCCTCCCTTTGAACACGCGAAATATTTATCATCTCCACCACCAATGTGACAGCTGTGTAAGGTCTTGTGGCATTTCTACTGTTGTCTTGAATAGTTATTTAAATATTCTTATTTTTATTTAATTTTTTATGTGCTTGTCTTATTATGCCAACTTAATAATGAATTCCTTGAGAGCAAAATATATCTTAGATTTCTTATTACCCACAGCATCTAGCACAGTATAATTAGCCTTGCACATTTAGGTGTCCAATAAATATTTGTTGAATTGAATTATGTTTGATCATTTGGAACGGAAGGTTGTTTTAGTGTATAGTATACATTTTTTCTCATCTCAGTTTTCATTCTTTGAATTTTAATAAGAGTCTTAGGTTTTTGAAGATTTTACTATGGAGAAAGATGACAGTCCTGTATATTCAGTCAGTAGGGCACTTAGGATCTAGGAATAGTGGTAGGTGTTTTTGAAAACCAGGGAAGTTTGTTTCCCATACGCTTTAGGGAAAAACAAATTGGCATAATTTATTCTGTGAGTATTTCAGCATCTATTATTTATGAAGCACTGTGGAGTACATAGAGAAGATAGTCATTGCCCTTGCATAGTTTATGGATTTACTAGTAAGGAAATACGCATAAACACAAATAATTCTGTTACATGGTAAATCGTGAATGTAAAGTAAAAGAAAAACACAGTGTTAGGTTAGTACATAGGTAGAAAGAAGTTACTTTTGGATGGGTAAAGGATAAAAGAAGGCTTGTTGGAGGATTGAAAAGAACAATGTCACAAGGTATTCTAATTTTTACCTTAAGCCTGAGTATTCTCAAAGGATGTCAGTGGGAACTAGAAATCTTTCCTGAAAAGAGTCATCTAGGAAATCATTCATATTCTAGAGTGATCAAAAATTACACCTTTGAATCATGATGAACTCTGATTTTTAGGGTCATTTGACTCTGAATGTGACATGGCATCTTGTAAAAAAAAATTGGTCATATTTCACAAATTATAGGAATAGTGCAGGTAGAATTAAAACATCCTCAGTACAACCCTGAGAAGTAAGTACTTTTGTTATTATTCCAGTTTTGTAGATGGAGAAAATGAAGTTGAGAGACTAAGTGCCTTGCCAATTTCATTCAGATAGTAGTAGTCTGAAGGAGGATTTGAACTCATGTCTTGCTGATTCCAAGACCAGATCTTTATCCATTATGCCACCTTGCTGGCTCAAAGACAGGGATTATTTTTTGTCTCTTTGTCTTCAGTACGTAGCACGGTACTGTGTATATAGCAGGCACTTAACAAATATTTGTTGAATATAATTTATTGTCAAAAAGGAGAAGTAGCTCAAATTGAAGCTGAGTATATTTAAATAACGTAGATAAGCCTCCACTTGAAGAAAAATGTGATTGGGAGAACTAGGTGGTGTAATGGATAGAGCACCAGCCCTGGATTCAGGAGGACCTGAGTTCAAATCCAGCCTCAGACACATAACATGTACTGGCTGTGTGACCCTGGGCAAGTCACTTAACCCCATTGCCTAGCCCCCCCCCACAAAAAAAGTCAGATAAAAAAAATATGATCCCCCAGATTTGAATTTATAAAACAGATAAACCAGGAGGGAATTATTCACATGTTGAAACATTTATTCTGGCTTCATGAAAGGTTCCCCAATTCTCCTATTCAAAGTAGAATCAATTTTACAAAAAAAGAACAACAAACCAACAACACAAACCTATTGGTGCACACACAATATTTTGGGAATGATAGCTGACATTTATCCAAACTTTTGAACACTTTATATATCTTAATTTATTTGATCCTCATGATAGCCCTGCAAGATAGCCACTATAGATATTATCCCCATTTTACAAATGAAGAAACTGAGGTTAACTGAACCAAAGTCTTTTATGACTCTGAGGTCAATATTCTTTCTGTTATATCATCTGAATTTTAAAACTCTTTCATTAAATGTGTTTTTTAGCTAATTGAGAAATTTTTGTTTATTAGCTAGCAGATATTTGCATACCTGCTATCTGCTCAACATCATGCTAGATGCTGTGGAGGGATATAAAAATATGTGAGGTGATTCCTTACCTCAAGGAGCTTACCATCTAGATGGAAAGAAGGGTTTTTTTTGTATTTTTATTTGGAAAGAAGTATTGAAAAATAAAACAATAGTGATAAGATGACGGTATGTGTTCATGGGCAAAAGCCATCCATGAGAGAGGAAATAGGAAAGAAACTCATCATGGAGGAAGTAGAATTTTATTTGCGCCTCTAAGTGTAGGTTGAATTTAAATAAGTGGAGGTTGTCTGTGTTAGGGGTCATAAACAGTATGTGGAAAAGTACAGTTTGAGGACAGAGCCTAGCCTTTTTATTTGTAACATATTGAGAAGCCTGGCCTGACCAAAGATAAAGGTATATATTGGGGATTAAAGGGAAATAATTTTGTCAGTAGAGTGGAGCTAAGACATAAAGAACTGGGGAAAAAAAAACTCAGACCTGATATAGTTGGGAATAGGTAGTCGTTAGAGATTTTTGAGGAAGGTGTGGTGATAAAGAAAGAAAGACTAATTAATTAATTAATTAAAGAAAATAAGATCAATCTGATAATAATATGGCAGATATAGTAGAAGGGAAAAGAGCCTACCATCAAGAAGACTAGTCAAAAGGATATAGTAGTGGGGCAGCTAAGTGGCACAGTGGATAGAGCTCCGACCTTAGAGTCAGGAGGACCTGAGTTCAAATGCGGCCTCTGACACTTACTAGCTGTGTGACCCTGGGCAAGTCAACAAAAAGAGAAGGTGATAGTAATATAGGTGTGCAGTGGCAGGGCTTGAGCTAGGGTGGTGTTGTTGAAAATAAAGAAGTAACATATACGAAAGACATTTCTTAGGAAAATTGGACAATATGTAGAATGAAGGACAGAGAACAATTCTAGGTTGATTTAAAGGTTTTTGTAGTTAACTCTGATACCAAAAGATTTAATTCATGAAATCTTTTTCCTTCTTTAGATATGTCTACTCTATGGTACTGTCTTGAAGAGAGTGATAAGAACTTTAGTGAATTCACCAATGGAATTCTGTTATATAGAAGTCATGTTGTAAATTCAATTTTTAAATTCACATGAAAGCAAATCAAAGTATATTTTTGACAAAGAATTAGCTTGGAGTGTTGCAGTATTCATGACCTTTATTTTTTTCTTAGGCCCACAATTCTCTGATTTGCTTTAAAAAATAAGACAAGAAACAGTAAAAGTGAAATGTAAGAAATTAAAAGTCATCTTTTTACATAATGTGTTACATATATAATAATTATATATATAATTTATGTTGAAAATAACAACTTTTGTGAAATTTAGGGTGCATTAATTCTAGATTTGTAGAAATGACACTGGCTCTTGTCTTTAGGTCACTGTATGAATTTGCCCTTAACCTCTCTCTCTCAGCTGTAGAAGCATTAAATGACATTATCTTATTTGTTAAAATCATTTTTCATGAAGTCATATTTGTGAAGGTATTGTAAAAAGTCAGTGCAAGTCTATTAACATTATGTATTTTAAAGAAATATTTAGAAAGTTAAAGTTCACAATGAAATGTTACAAGACAGAGGCAATGACTTTCCCTCTCTCTATATTTTTTTTTTCATGTGCTTTATGTCCCTTCTGAGCCTATTCAAATATAGTATATAGGACAAATTGGCCAAACTGCAGGTTTTGCAGTGGTTTATCACTGCCAAAAGATTTCCTTAAATTGTAGTCTGTTTTGAGCTAAAGTATTCATCTTGTTCTTGCCAAAGACAATCAACTTTGCCAAAAGTTCTTCATCTGAAAAGATGACAAACGTGCCTACGATCAAGACGTGCTTTTTGGCTATGTTTATACTTAGAGATATTTGTATTTCCAGAAAGAATTCAAATGCTTTCACAATCCTTTAGTGGGATATATTCTAAATACATCCACATTTTATTCAAAATTAGAAAACATATTCTCTTTGTGGCTAAAATAATTTGAATTGTTCATTGTGTTCTTTTAGAAGTGGTGTGCCAAGTCTTCATTTATTCACTTCCTCTTAGGGGACAGCAAGGAAACTATACTTACAGGATGCTACCTTCCCTTCCTAATCAGAGCTTCCCAGAAGCTAGTTGGTACCTTCTGCAGTGCTTGATTCAAATTCAGATACTTCTAGTAGAAGTCACATTTTAGAGCAGGGGTGGAGAGACCCTGTGGCCTCGAGGCCACATTTGGCCCTTTAGGTCCTCAAGTGTAGCCCTTTGACTGAATCCAAACTTCACAGAACAAATAAAAAGATTTATTTTGTAGAACTTGGACTCAGCCAAAAAGTCATACCCAAGGACCTAGAAGGCCACATGTGACCTTGAGGCTGCAGGTTCCCCACCCCTGTTTTAGAGCCTTAGGCTTAGTTAATCCCAGGTAATACCAGGTTATTTGGTATTATTTAAGAGTCAGCTGAGGAAAAGAAGCAGGACTTAGGGTGGTGTACTAAGAAGGAGGTAAACCTTTTGATCTATGATTTATATAAAAGTATCTACTCCTTTTTAATGTAGTTCAACAATATTTATTGAGTATTGGTAGGAGAGGTAGGACAGCATTACAATTTTGCTTACTTCATATTAGCCTAGAATGAATCTTGGCAACACCATTCAAGATTTTTTTCCATTCTCCTGGTGGCCTCCTTTAGACCCTTCCCTTAGAAGATGCTTTTCTTTTCTTTTATTCTTTTTTTGTGAGGCAATTGGGGTTAAGTGACTTGCCCAGAGTCACACAGCTAGTGAGTATTGCGTGTCTGAGGGCACATTTGAACTCGGGTCCTTCTGACTTCAGGGCCAGTGCTCTGTCCACTATGCCATGTAGTTGCCCCCTTTTTTTTTAAGTGACTATTTTGAGGTCGATTGTCTTAAGAGCTTTTTCAGTTATTCAGTAATCAAGCAGCATTTGTTAGGAGTCTCCTGTGAGTTAGGCACTATTCAAAACTATTGGTTTTAAAAGTGTATACAGAAGAAGTTCTTCCACTGAGTGCCATGTGGAGTTGGTATCCAATTAATTTTCCCCTTTGTTTAGGTTATGGGGAGAATTGTGGGAGGAGGTCACTGGGAGGAGTAGAGTGGGAAAAGAGGAAGCATCAAATGAGAGAAGTAAGGTAATTTTTTTTTCTGAAAAAGAGACATAGGATTTCATGGTTTAATTACACTTGGAACACTTAATTGTACTAGAACTTTACTGTAAAGATTGGTGCATTTGGTTTGCTCACCTCTAAACTCTTATTAAATGTTCACCTAGGTTCTGCTTACTGAGATGATGGAAAGGTGTAAGAAACTAGGGAACAAGTAAGTATTCTGTCATTCCTAGAGCATAAATTAAAGACTGAATCTTCTGTTCTGAGACAGTTAAGTCTATTTGTGCACACAGTTAAGTCTATTTGTGCACATGCTTGTAGAAGGGCTTTCATCTGGTCCACCAGAAGCAATTTTCCAAACCATTAAACTCTTTTTGATTGTCCTTGGAAGATATCAGACTTTAGTTTTTTTCCTCATTGCTATTTTAAAGAGGATAAGCAATCATTCTCACTTAGCTAGAAAGAGAAATCATTAATTCAGAAGCTTAGCCTTTTCCTACTACTTAATCGAGAGAGATATATAGAGGCAACTGCTTTCTGATGGCTAGCAGAGGTAATAAGAAAGTGTGGTTCCTATACTCTGCCTTGCGTTTTGATTATTTGCTGTCTGTTAGAAAAGCCTTTTGCTCTGTTTTATGTAGCTATAGAATCTAGTTCAACAGTCATTTAATGAGCACCCACTATCTTGCTGCTAGGTGCTGTTGGGATAAAAGAGAAGTGTTAGATATGAGCCTTGACCTCCAAGATTGACTCTCTGGTTGAGGACACAAGGGTTAAACATGTTACATAGAAAATAATATATAATACCGTGTAAGATTAAGTGCCAAACTATGTGATCTAAAGTAAGTGCTTGAGTCAAAAGCAGGGAAGGAGATTGAGACTGTGCCAGTGATTTCCATGAGTATCAGTCCCAGATGAGGGAATTCCCTCCACACAATGCAGGCTTCTCTACAATCTAGAGTCTTAGAGAACTCTGCAGAGCACTGAGATGTTAAGTGAGTTGTCCAGAACCACAGAGCTTGTATGTTTCAGAAGTGGGATTTGAATCTAGGTGTTGCTAGCTTTGAGGCTAACTTTCTATCCACCATGCTATGTTTCCCCTCATCAGAGTAGGAAGAAATCAAAATAAATGTAACTGGGATTCCTGGTTTTTTTTTCTCTGCCAGTCCTTAAACAGAATCTGCTGTTGCTGCCAGTAAATATGACTGAGGATCATATAGCTCCTTGAAACCTTACTTTCTCTGAAATCTTTGACAAGCATGTAAATAATATTTCTACTTTATAAACTGAAGCAGAGGGAAGTTAATTAATGGCACAAGTTCACATGGTACTTTGAAGCCATGGCCAAAGGAAGACTTGGATGAAAAATACTATTTGTAAGCTAACCAATTTGTTGTATACAATTATGCATACTATGTGTATGATTGTTTGTTGGTTTTGTTTCAGTAATATTGTTTTGAAGGGGCAGCTAGGTGGCACAGTGAATAGAGCTCAGGCCTTAGAGTCAGGAGGACTTGAGTTCAAATCCATTCTCAGACACATGATACTTACTAGCTGTGTGACCCTGGGCAAGTCACTTAACCCTGATTGCCTTACCAAAAGGCAAAAAAAAAATATTGTTTTGATAAATTCTACTATGAATATAGGGTGCTCTCAAGGGAAGCACTTACCCCTATGTACATTATAATCTTGATTAAAATTTTTGTTAAGTTTGGAAATGTGTTGATGGGCATCTTTAAAAACATGGGTAGGATCTAATGTGATGGGGAAAATTATTAGATGTTTATTAATTTAGTTTCCTTGTCACCATGGATTTATGTAGTTGTTTACATATTTAGAAATCAGATAGCTTATTTTTTAGTAGCAATAAGGCAAATTGAATACAAATTGGAAATGGAAAAGGTCTTTATTTTTGGTTTATCTAGCCTTCTAATTTTTACTTTGAATTTTCTTGAATATTATGTAAATAATAAATTGCCTTTTTTTCTCAAGCTATGGACAGTGTTGTCACCTTTTTTTAAATTTGCATAATGACCCTCTGAAAGCATGTTTTTCTCCTAAGTTGTTTTTATTTTTCTTCAGTTGATTTTTTTTAAGCTTTCATTAAATTGCTGTCAGTTATGTAGTAAATTTGTAAATTAAAATGGCTTTCATTGATGGAAAGCAATGTTGATTGGTATAATGTTTCTTGCAGTGCTTTGCTGTTGAATTCTGTGATGTCAGCATTCAGAGCTGAGTTTATTGCTGCGAGATCTATGGATTTTATTGGCATGATTAAAGAGTGTGATGAGTCTGGATTCCCCAAGGTAGGGTTTTGACTTAATGTTCAGTGAGACAACAAATAAGCAGTATTTAATTGATAGCTCACAAGGGAGAGAATCAGGTGTTTTAGGTAATATAGTCCAAGAAGAATACAAATGTAGCCTCTATTCCTGTTAAAAAAAAAAGGCGAAAGGTGATTTAGATATTGAGATTGTTGTACAACATGTAATTACTGTACATCAGGCATTCTAGTTCTAGGTTTTCTGGAATAACTCTCAATGGAATAGTTTTATTAGAATTTGGTCCTAGACTTTTAAAAACATTCTTTCAGGGAGTAATCCTGAAAGACTGTCCAGTAGAATATTTTATCTAATAAAGCAGAAGGAAATTGATGCTGACTTTTTTTTTTCATTTCTCACAGTTTAAGCCTTGTGATTCTATAGCAGAGATTTAGAAATGGACATTCAAAACAATAACCTTGGGAGTTATCAATTTTAATACCTGTATTTAAAAAGCCTTATATGTCTGATTTAAAATCATAGGATTTAGAGGGGGAAGGGTGACCCTAACATCTAGTTCCTTATTTATACTGGTCAGAAAACAGAGGTCCAGAGAGGATGACTTTCTAAGGTCTCATAGGAAGTAAGTAGCAGAGCTGGGATTTGAGCTTAGGTCATCTGACTTTCAAGCCAGTATTTCTTCCATTATGTCACACTGTCCACCAAAAGTAACAGAATGCTTTGATATTTCCTTAGCATCTCCTTTTTCGCTCATTGGGATTAAACTTAGCCTTGGCTGATCCCCCTGAGAGTGATCGACTTCAGATATTGAATGAAGCCTGGAAAGTTATCACTAAATTGAAAAATCCACAGGTGGGTTACTAGTCAAGACATCAAATCTACTTTTAACCATGTTCTACAGCATATGTACATTTTCTCTTGAAAAGATATAATCATAAAGTTATTTGCACTTTCGTTTTTAGTAGAAGTGCAGACCTTTAATTATTCTTGAGCTTATTGTGCAGGTCTGTTATCTATGCAGATGTTTATTTGATTTGTGCCTATGTCATATGTCATACTCTATGCCATAAAGCCTTGAAAGCACTAAAAAGTGTAAGAATATGTATGATTAAAGGCTTTAAAGAACTTCAGTATTTCCTAAAGCATCAAAAAACATTTTTTCTTAACTAATTTAAAAAAGCCAACATGAAAGTGATTGAATAGGATTGAATAGATTGAATAGGAACAGATTTGAACCATTTTCAGTAAGGAATTTCAGTTTCCTAGCTCCTACATAAAGACAGGAAAACCTCTGAATCTTGACTTCAAATTCAGGTATCATTACAGCAGGCAGGGTTAAGTATTAAGGGTGTGTGTGGGAAATTACTATGGTGTAAAGACAAAAGTCATAAAATGTATTTTTAAAAAGAAAGTGAGGCAGCTGGGTGGCGCATTGGATAGAGCGCCAGCCCTGGATTCAGGAGGACCTGAGTTCAGATTCGGCCTCAGACACATAACACTTACTAGCTGTGTGACCCTGGGTGAGTCACTTAACCCCATTGCCTAGCCAAAAACAAAATAAAGAAATTTAACACTTTGGCACATAATTTAGTACTTTTCTTTATCAAACTTCAGCTATTAACAACTCCTCTGTAGTTATGGTTCTCAGATAGAGGAAAACAACATTTATTGAATTTTACTTTTTATTTAGTTAGAAGTGGTCCTGCATGTATACCATGGTTCTGGCTCTCTAGAGCTTTGGAACAGCTGTAGCATCAAATGTCCCATATTGGCATCTTTCTCTAGCTTTTTATCTCAATTAGACCTTTGAATTTTAAGCCTTCATTTCTATGTTTTGCAATCTTTTAGAACAAGTCTTCAACTACCAGCTTATTAGAGAGAAGGTGTTAGTTTGTCTTTTTGACATTTCCAGTTATTTCCTGGAATATAATATTCTTTATTCATTTTTTTAAAATTGAGATTAAAAACTTTTTTTCTTTAGTGTTTCCTTTCTCTTCCACTGTCAAAAAAAAAGCAGGAAGAGAAAGATATGTTGAGTTATATACTACATTTTCTTGTGACTATCTTTCTAATCATACATTCCCCCATAACCAGCCTTGCTAAATTCAACTAAATCTGCTTCCCAGAAGACAGTTGAAATGTCCATTTAGTTTCTTTATTAAACTCTGTGAGCTTCTTTTATTTTATGGCAAAAATCCAACAATACAATTGCTTCTTAAAGTATGAGAGCCTCCTTCTCTCACATTCTAAACACATTACAGAGATATGTGAATTTCTCTGCAGTGACTAAGAGGAAGATTCATCAAGTTCTTGAAAAGGTGGACATCTGTTCTATATAATAAAAATACCAAATTCCAAATTATGTGCTGAGATGTTCATGTTTTTAAAAATCTCTTTTAAAAAAATACATTTTATTAAGTCTTACAATATTGAAAAGAACAGAGAGTAAGTACCCAAACATTTAGGGTTTTGTAGAATCACATCTTGAAAAGTGATAGGTGACGGATATCACTGTAAAGATGAATGTGTTTGTATGTGTGTAAATCAGATACCTTTACAAAGTCTTCTGAAAATAGAATTTGATGGTAGGCCATGTGCATGTTGTGACTGCTTATAAACAAATGGGAAAATAAGATATTCATGTAAAAAGGTAACTGGCAGCAATATAAGGCATTATGTAAGTGCCGAAATGGTAGGCTGAGAGTCATAGGAGTTCATATGAGGAAAAATATATCGTAGGCTAGTGGTCTGTATATCACTCTAAACTGTTTTGGAGATCAGAGGATATGAATAGGCTTCATGCTTGATTGGATGTTGCTACTGATTAGATTAATTGAATCTTACTGTTTTGTAGCTAGTTGTTATATTGTCATAAAAATAATTTACATTTTCTTATAGGACTATATTAATTGTGCTGAAGTATGGGTAGAATATACGTGCCGGCATTTTACGGTATGTCACTGTTCTGAAATTTTGTGGAAAAACTTTTTTTTCCTGTTTTACAAAGAGGTATGCATGCTTTTCCATAGGGTAAAAAAAAAGGTTAGATGATCGTTGTTTTTTGTATGTAATTGTTATGTAACATAAGTAGTAATTTATGACAATTCAAAACAACAAGCATTTATTTAACATCTTACTATGTGGTTGTCCTAGTGCTAGGCACTGACAAAAAACTAAAAATATTGTCCCTTCTTTCAAGAAGTTTATATCCTACTGGGAAAAACCACATGCATGTATACATTAAACATGAAATATGTATAAAGTAGATAGCAAATAATTTTGGAGGGAAGCACTAGCAGCTAGAGGGATCAGGCTAGACCTTTTGTAGGAGATGGCACTTCAGCTGAACCTTGAATGAAGTTAGGGATTCCAAGAGGTGGGGGAGAGGGAGGAAAACATACCCAACACAGGGGAGTCGAGACAGGAGATGGAATGCTGAATTGGGAGGTCAGCAAGGAGGCCAGTTTGCCTCATAGAGTGTGTGAGGAGGAGATGTTTCACAGGTAAACACACAGGTAACACCATTTGTTGTACAGGAGAACACAGGAGGGGTCCTAACACTAACAGGTTCACTCTAGCATAGGTTCACTTTTGATCTGGTCAGACAGGAAGACAGCTTCAGAGGGGTTAAATAATACTTTAGTCCCAAAGGGAGTTTGCTGATAATGGGGGCACCAGCTCCTACAGCATTCCCTAATCACTCTTTTCTCTGGGACAGGCGAGAATAAGAGTACAACTCCTCATCTCCTAAGCCACAATAGAGGCTGGTTGAGGCAAACACAGATTCCCCCCAGGCCTTGATGAGGGTTTATCTAGGCAGGTACATGCATTCTTCTATGCATTACCCAAATCCCAAAATGAGTTCCCCCCTTACTGACCAGTGCCATTTGCTTTATAGGGCAACAGACAAAGAAAGCATCTTGCCAATATTAAGCTCATAGGTTAACTTTAGCGACATCGTCATTCAGCGCAAGCATAGTAAATATTCCTTATGTCATCCCTATATCTCACTGTGCAGGTGTGGTGGAAGTTGTTTTCAACCATAATTCGTGGGAAATATTATCTAGGATCCTGGAACTATTGTCTAAAAAGGAATAACAAAATCCTTCTTATGCATACTAAAATCCACCTTACTTACAAGAGGAATGTGAAATCAGTCAGGAAAGATAAGTTAGAGCCCAGTTGTCAAGGGCTTTAAGTGTAAGGCAGGGGAATAGGGTCTTTTTTTTTATATTACTCTTGAAAATTGGTGTGACATCCATCAGAATCTTGAAAATGAGCTTAGAATTGGTTTTCTGTGAGAGCAGCTATATTCTTTGGTTATGGATGTCTTTCCAGATAGTTTGTAGGAAATACCATCTTAGACAAGTGACATGATTTGTATTTCTTCTCTTAAATTTGAAGTACATTTGAGGGGAAGTGAGTTATGGGTTCCATAAGAGTGTGTCCTTTCATCAGCAAAAGTTTCACAAACTGTTGTTCACAGCGTTTTGGGTTTAATTTTTCCCCAAATAGAAACGGGAGGTCAATACTGTTTTAGCAGACGTCATCAAACACATGACTCCTGATCGGGCATTTGAAGATGCATATCCACAGGTAACAAGAATTTTCTTCTATTTCAGCTTTGTTAAATTTCATCTTGTACAACTGAATTAAGTATTAGTTATTGTGAAATGACTTGCTTAACTATGTTTTATTCAGAACTAGAAAACTTTTGTTGGTCAAGAGTTAGTTTGTGTAATGATATAATGGCCCAGAATTTGTTGTCTAAGATTGATTTTTAACTTGAATGAGTAAGAGACCTGATGAAAGCTATAGAGAGTAGATCAGTTACGGGCTGGTTTAAATGACCTTTGAAGGGCATCTAGGTGGTGCAGTGGATAGAGTGCTGGGCTTGGAGATGCTCTCAGATACTTACTAGTTGTGTGACCCAGGGTAAGTCACTTCACTTGGTTAGCCTCAGTTTCCTCATCTAGGAAATGATCTGGAGAAGGAAATGGCAAACTGCCTCAGCATCTTCACCAAGAAAATCCCAAATGAGGACACAAAGAGTTGCACATGATTAAAGTGACTGAAAAATAACACATATGACCTTTGAAATCGGTTCCCATTTAAAGGTTTCTGTTAGTATTTTTGTTTCAAATAATTGTCCATTACATTGTCAAAAAGGTAAAACCAAATGACTTGAACTCTTAAGCAGTTGAACTTTCTGATACTGAACTAGTAGTTTTGTTATAGTGTTTTGTTCTGGTGCTTTTCCTTTCTATCCAGGATTTATTTTTTTATTTTTAAATTAAAAATTTTCCTCCCAGTGAATAAAAATTGGTTTTCTCTTCTTCTCACCCTCTGCTCCCTATATTAGAAAAACAAAATTCATATTTATTTTTTAAAATTAGCTTTCCAGAGATGTCCTGGGGTCAGTCCACATTCAGACTAGTTTTCTGCCACCTGGGAGTATGGTCTTGGACAAACAAAATTGTTATTTACAATTTTGACCCTGAGAACCATTGTAACATCCTATAATATAACATGTTATTATTTTCATTGTTTATTTTACATGAATTTTTAGTGTTAAGGGTTGAAACAAGAAGAAATCATAGTTAAAACAACTGATTCCTTGATCTGAATCCTTTTATATCCAAAACTGATTTCTTTTACTTCCAAATTTAAAAAGTGTATTTTATACATATATATGTATATATGTAATATGTCTGTTAAATAAAATGCGTGTATTTTGTTTTTTAGCTTCATTCAATAATTAAGAAAGTTATCGCCTACTTTCATGATTTTTCAGTTCTTTTCTCAGTGGTAAGTAAAGATTTAAAATCATCTCTGTGTGTGTGTGTGTGTGTGTGTGTGTGTGTGCTTTGTATGTGTGGTGTGCACATGCATGTTCGCACATAGATGCACATGGATGTGTCTAGCAGTGTCTTGAAACTCTAGAATATCTTCTTAGCTTCCAGAACAGTAGTTTCACATTTTCTTATGCTGCTATAGTTTACTTTGGTTATAGTTGACTAAATGAACCTAATTATTATGTTATTTGCAGGAAAGCTGCATTATTAGAATTTCTCTAATGAGGACTGACACTAGACAAAATGGTAAAGGAGGGAAGTTTTTTTCAGTCTCTTTCTACTTTTGTTTTATACTTGTTTTCCACTTTCTTTTGTGTCCATTTCCTCCAGAGGTATCTACTGGATTGACACTGCTTCCTCTCTGCTCAGAATTTCGCTATGATATCAGACCCAAGCTCCTATGAAGAAATGCTCCCTTAACTCCTAAATTACTTTCCCCAAACTGCTGTTTGTTTGAGTCAGCTGATCTCCTTGATCTTTGGTTGTTCTAGAGAATTCCCTCATTGAAATGAATTTTCCCTCATGTATGAATTCTTAACCTGTTAACTGTCCTCTAGGACAGAAGTTCTTAGAGATTTCAAGAGAGAGGGACAGCATGTAAACTTGGATGGGGAATAAGTTATCATTGCATTTACAAACCTCTAACTAAAATTTAACTTTTTCTTCAGTTATGGATTTTTAAAAATCGAATTTTATTTTATTTTCAGTTCTGAATTATCCTCCTCTTCTTCCCTCTCTCCCCATCCATTGAGAAAGCAAGAAAAACAAAACCTTTACAAATATGTATAGTCAAGCAAAACAAATTCCTACATTAGGCATGTCCATAAAAATGCTTTAAATCTGCACTCTGAGTCCATTATATTTCTGTTTAGAGTTGGTGGATAGCATGTTTCATCTTGGAGTTGTGGTTGATCACTTGTCTTGATCAGAGTTCTTAGGTCTTAATTATGAATTTTTTAAAAAGACAATATTCTCAAAACAGTTCATTGATTTCACCAAGACTGCCACCAAAAAATTAAGAACTCTGGCCCTAGAATATGGAGTGAGTAAATTAATCAGTAAACATTTGATGAACCCTATTTTGTGTTCGGTTTGATGCTAGGTCCCATATAACTGAAGCAGAAAGAATGGGCACCTCAGGACTTTAACTGCTGATAAAAGTGAGGTTTTTGTTCAACCATGGTTATGTTATTGTACTGTGACAAAGACATTTTATATGTCACTAACAGAAAGATGAGGTTTGCTTTTTAGGTTATAGCCTCCAAAGTACACTACACATCCCTTATTGTTATTTTTTTCTTATCTTTAATTAATTTATTTTGAATTGTCAACAATCACTTCCATAAGCTTTTGAGTTTTAAATGTTTCTCCCCTTCGCTCCACCTCCCTTCCCAAGACGGTGCACAATCTGATATAGGCTATACATATCCATTCCTATTAAACATATTTTCACATTAGTGATGTTGTTAGAATTAGAACCAATAGGAGAAACCACCAGAAAGAGGCAACAAAACAGCAGAAGAAAAAAAATAGCAGATAGTATGCTTTGATCTGCATTAAAACTCCATAGGTCTTTCTTTGTATGTGGTTAGCATTTTCCACCACGAGGCCTTTGGAGATATCTTAGATCCTTGCATTGCTGAGAAGGGTTAAGTCTATCAATATTAGTCATCATATAACATAGCTGTTACTGTGTACAACGCTCTCCTGGTCCTGCTCACTCCTTATTGTTATTTTAAAAACACTCCAGGGAAGTTAAATTGAATAATTTCCTGAAGCAAAGCAATCAAATTCTTTTCGTTTTCATTGTCTTCCAGGACACTAGTAAATCTGACTTTCTTCTTGATCTGCTGTCCAAATTAGTCACTATATCCTGCTTTGCCTCCAAACCTTTTTCCACTTGAGCTTTTTTCTGAGCTTATTTTTTCCATTTCATCTGTTATCTAGCATTCCTTAGTCTACTGTATTAATTTTCTTTTGAGTTGAGTGAAATTAAGTCCTATAAACTTTTCTACTTTTTCCACTTTTTCCATCGTTTCCCCCTGAGATTTCTTAGTCTCATTCAATTTGTTCTTTTATTCCTTTTGTCATATTTTTGGTAAGTTTTATTCCTGAAGTGGTTTATTATTCATCTCAGCATATCTTTCAGGATTTCTTGTGCCATTTTCAGTGTAATTTTTGATGCTGTTTCGGTATTCATTTTTTTCCTGGTATCCTTTGCCCCTTGTTTCTTTTGCACTTGCATCTTTTTAAAATTTTTATTACAGATTTTCTTATTTTCTTGGAAATTTTCAGTAATTTTTTTTCTTTTTGATATTTCTGTTCCTATTTTTGAGGGAAACATAGGGAGGCTGGATGCCTTGGGACTTCACTTTACCTGAAAGTCCCTCCCTTGTTTTCTATCACCATGCTCTTTCTCTCAGTTCAGCAAGGAATCCAGCCATGCAAGCCAGTAGGCTACACAACTTAAGTTATGACAGTGAAGAGGTTCAGAGTATGTGTATTTATAATGTTTATTAATATTTAGTCAGTTGTACTTTTTTTTTCCCAGAGGAGGGAGCATATGAGTTGGGTTTTAAAGGATTGATGGATGAGTAATGATGGAGCCATGGGGGGCAAGAACATTCTAGCATTGTGAAAATTCAGAGCATGCCATAAGATTTAACAGTTCAGCTTAGCTTGACTATTATGAAGGCATGGGGATAAGTAGCATTATATAAGGCGGGAAAGGTAGAGGGTCTTAATTCTACAAGACCTTCAGTGCTAAGCAAGGGAACTTGAATAGTAATAGGGAATCCCTGATGATTTTTGAGAAGAGTTAGATCTATTCATCAGAAAGATGAATCTGTGTGAAGAATGGATTGGAAATGGGAAAGGAGTAAATCTTGGACTCTCAGAATAGATTCACACTAAGCTTTTCGTATGATCACAAAGTCATGAAGAACCTGCAGAGACTATTTAGACCAATGAATTTGGTCATTTAAAACTTTTGGAGGCTTGAAAATATATTGCCCAAACTCACAAATACTGGTATGGGCAATGGGATAATCTCCTTGGAAATATTGGACCAAATTAGAGTAATTAAATTAAAGAACCACTTATTAAACACCTACTGTATGTAGGGAGATGGAGTTTACATTTTACTGGGGCAGGAGTAATGTATACTGTTAGAAATTTTATACAAAATTTAAAAAATAATTTTGTGGTGGGCTGCACTAATAATTTGAGGGATTAAGAAAGCTCTTGAGTTCTTAAGAGGTAGCAGCTGAACTGTACCTTGATGGCAGAAAGGGCTTCTAAGAGGCAAAAGTAGAGGACAACTTGTGTACAGCAGTGGGTTGTCTTGTGTAGCAGATAGACCAGTTGTCTGGAATGTACAGTAGTACAAAAAGGAGAGAAATATAAAAATCATCTGGAACTGGTTTGTGAATGGCTTTAAATGCCAAATATATGCATTTGTATATTATATCAGAGGTAATATTTGAGTAAGGACTTAATGTGGTCAGATCTGTGCTTTATGAAAGCTGTTTTGGTCCTTTGAGAGAAGAGAGACTAAAAGTAGGGATATCAATTCAGAGGATATTGCAGGTATCCAGGTAACAGGATTGAGGGCCCAAATTATTTGTGAGTGGAGAAGTGGAGATGGGTATGAGAGATACTATGGAAGCAGAATCAGTAAGACCTGGCAAGTGATTGGATGTTTGGGGAGCGATGGAGAGTGAGGAGTCATAGATAACTGTAATGCTGCAAACCCTGGTGAATTGTTGTTCTATGGTAGTGCTCTGGTGGGGTTGGTAGTGTCTGAGGAGGGCTTTTTTAAGAAGGGGAGAGACTTGAATGTGTAGTTGTCAAGGAAGGAACCAGTAGAAAGGGAAAGGTTGAAGGTTGGGGTATATGAGAGTAGGGGTAATCTGCTGGAAAAGATGGGAGAAGATAGGATCCATAGTACATGGAGAGGGATTGGTCTTGCGAAAAAGAAGGATCACTTTTCTATCAGAGACTGGAGGAGAGGAGGGAAAAATGGATAATGATGAGGAGGAGGAGGAGAAGGATGGTAAGGATGATGAGAGAAAAGGGTGCTAGTGGTGAATGACTTGTTTCTTTGTAAAATGTTAGGTAAGTACCTCAGCTGAGGATAGGGGAGAGGATGCCATTAGAAGCTTGAGGGAAAAGAATAAATGGTTTGAAATAGCCCATTGGTGAGAGTGAGGGCCTGGTTGAAATTAGATTACATAAATTTGTCATTGACCCTGTCAGTGTGTATTTATGTGACTTCCTTTTGCTCCATTAAATACAACGTGAATAGAATTGGTAAAGATGGATGGAAAGGGAAAGATAATAAGTTCTCTTTTATACATGTTGAATTTGAAATGCAATGGGATATGTAGTTGGAAATGTTCAGCATGCAGTTGATTTGTGGATCTGAGAGCTGAGGAGAGATTAGGGTTGCATATGTAGTTTTTAGAATCATTTAATAAAGTTAAGTAAACCCAAGGGCAGCTAGGTGATGCAGTGGATACAGCACCATGCCTGGAATCAGGAAGACATCTTCCTAAGTTAAATCTGGCCTTAGACTTACTACTTGCGTGACCCTGGGCAAGTCACTTAACCCTATTTGCCTCAGTTTCTCATCTGCAAAATGAACTGGAGAAGGAAGTGGCAAACCACTCTAGTATCTTTGCCAAGAAAACCCTAAATGAGGCCATGAAGAGTTGGACATGACTGAAAAACAACTGAACAACAATAACAACATGAATTCATGGGAGTTACATATAATTAGCAAGATAAAGAAGATGGGCCAACACAGAGCCTTGGGGGACCTTTACACAGTGAACAGGACACGGACTGTGATCCCACAAAAGAGGTGGAGGAGCAAAGTCAAGAATGAGCAGTATCATGAAAGCCAAGAGAAGAAAGAGGAAAGGGTTGACAGCAGTATCAGTAAATGCAAAGAGGTTAAGAAATCTAAAGACAGAAAGGGCCATTGGATTTAACAATTGTGGGTATCTGTGGAGGGAACAGTTTCATTCCTGGTTCAGGAGAAGAAGGTTTCTTACAGGATGAGAAGTGAGTTGGGAGAAGAGGAGGAAGAGATAATGACTATAGATGACTTTTTCTGGTAATTGTACAGTAAAAAACAGGACATAATGATATGGACCCAAGAGGACGGCAGGATCAAGTAAAGGTTTCTTAATGATGGAGAATGTTTTTAGGCAATTGCAAAGGAGCTAATGGATAAGTAAAGACTGAGAATGAGAGGATGAGAGTGAGTATGTGAAGGATTGACAGGCAGGCTGCTGGAGGAGAAAAGAATGAATGGAATCCAGGGCTTTAGCAGAGGGATTAGCATTGTCAAAGTACTGGAGCAATGGAGGAAGGACTGGGACATGGTATTGAAAGGTTTGGAGGTATAGAATTGGGGAAAAGGGCAAGCTTATGACTGATGTCCACTTTTTGTCCTCAGTAAAGTAAGAGGTGAGGTCTACTGCTTGGAGGGAGAAGGAATAGTATAATAAAGGTAGTTTGAGAAGAGAAGTCATGGATTGGCTCCTATAGACAGTATGATAGAGTCAATCAAAGAATAAAAGGATTGCTGTGCAGTGAGCATTAAGGGTTTGGTTGAGATTGAGTGACATCAGTTTGTGGAGGATCCAGTTAGTGTAGTCAGAGCTTATTTCCATAGTTATAAATTGCTGTGCTAATAAGTATTTTTGACAAAGATAATTTCACACTTAATACTTTAGAACAGGAGTTTTTAACCTGGGGTCTGTGAACTTGTTTTAAAAAATATTTTGATAACTGTATACCGATATAATGAATTGATTTCCTTTTCTAATCCCATGTATTGTGTTTTATGTATTTAAAAACATTCCTCAGAGAAAGGGTCGATAGGCTTCACCAGATTGACCAAGGGGGCTAGTCATACACACAAAAATTTGAGAACCTTTGTTTTAAAGTGAAAAATGTCAGTGATAGTTAAATTTCCACACAGAATCTTTATTTGCATTGAGTGGAACATTAGGATTCTCTTCAGCACAGTTTAGGAAAGAGTGATTTAAAGATTTTCCTGTCAGACAAGAACACCCTTGAGCATTTTAGATAGATGGAAATTTCTTTCTTTCTCTCTTTTTTTTTAAATCTTCAGAGAAATATTCTACAACTTCTTTCCAGTAATCCATATTAATTAGATGTGCTTGGTTATTTTTAGGAGAAATTTTTGCCATTTTTGGATATGTTCCAAAAAGAGAATATCCGCGTGGAGGTTTGCAAGTGCATTATGGAAGCTTTTATTAAGTAAGTATGAAAGCATTCTTGAGTCAAATATATTGATGAGAAAAATATATTCACTTTGTATACCCCTTTGTATTTATAACATGTTCTATATATTCAATTATAAGATAAAATAAGTTAATATTTTTAATATCCCTGCTGTTACCACATTATAATAGTTTTAAAATATGAAGCAAATGGAAAACTAATAATAACACATTTGGGTAATTATTAGGCATACAGTTCTGAGCTAAATTGTTTTTGAAGCAAGAAATGCCTCTCCTTAGTACCTTGGAAGCACCATTTATATTATGAACTTAAAGTCATTATTTTCTGTTAGCTCCAGATGCTTCTGTAAAGACCAGAACATTTAAGTAATTATTTTGATTATCCTGTGAACAGATCCAATCCTGAAAAATGAGTGCCTTTTTTTGGTGGTTGTGGCAGAATTTACACCGTTGTTTGGTGCCTTAATTACAAAATGTGTATTTTGTATGATTAGGAAGGAATATGAGTACTCTAATTTACATGACTCTTTGCTACAATAATTAGTTCTTTATTTTACTGTGTACATTTAAATTATGCTTTTACTTGGTAGTTAATATACAAAGAAAATATGTTGAGGATATCCTGGAATGTATTGGCAGTATATTTAAGGGGCTGATTTTTAATGTATTCTTACTGTGCTTTCAAATTTTTAACATGTATGAAGTAGTAAACTTTGTTACTTGACACCCCCCCCCAAACCCCCCCAAAATAAGACCTTGTACCTAACTAGTGTGATCTATTTCTGGTGCAGATTAGATAAAAATGCCCCTTTTGTAAATATATAAGATTTTTTGGGGTTGTTTTGGCCTGGCATTATGCATTTTCATTGTCCTAAAACATTCCAATATTCTGTATAGCTTTTACCCTCTTTCTTTAAATGTTTTTTAGGCATCAGCAAGAGCCTACCAAGGATCCCGTCATCCTGAATGCTTTATTGCATGTTTGTAAGACTATGCATGACTCTGTGAAGTAAGATCCCATTCATATTTGTGAACCATTGAGTTCTTATGTAGTAAATGTTAGATCATATATCCCAAGAGTTCATACAAGAAAATTATTGATTTAAAATGCAACTGTGACTATCTTCATGTATTATAACTTTGTTTAGCCCATTAAGATTTTCTCTAACAAAGAGCTAACAAGGGTATTTTGTTCCTTTTGCTGATGGGAAGGAAGTCAACTGGTAATCTTTTGATAAATGAAAGGCAGAAATGAAGTAGCAGGTGGTTTTTTAAGTGATTAAAAAAAAAGCCTGTTGCATTTCAGATGAAAAATACTAAGACGAAAAGCCTTTGAGAGGCCTTATAACACCAGGTAGCAGACATTTATCCAATAATATATAATTTTAATTAAAGCTCATTACCAGCTAATTATTTCAAATTCAAACAAAATATTGGAATTGTTCAAGTGAAGGACAGCTTTGTTCTGTAGATGGTCTAGACTGGCGTCTGAAAAATCTGCTTTCATCACACTGGGGGGTCAGAATCCTTTCAGAATTCTTTGGAAAGGGGCAAATGATCACTTCTGCCATTTTCCTTTTTCTTGGGTGGGGGGAGCAGGTCCATTATGGGTCCCTTTAAGTGAGGAAGGGATCTAAAGTTTTGATTTCCTAAGAGTCCTTTTTTAAAATAAATTTATTTGTTTATTTTTAATTTTCAACATTCACTTCCATAAGATTTTGAGTTCCAAATTTTCTCCCCATCTCTCCCCTCCCCCCACCTCAAGACAGCATGTAAATTGATATAAGCTCAACATAAACATTCATATTAAACCTATTTTCACTTTAGTCGTGTTGTAAAGAAGAATTAGAACCAATAGGAGAAACCATAAGAAAGAAGAAAACAAAAAAAAGAGAGCAAATAATATGCTTCGATCTGCATTCAGACTCCATAGTTCTTTTTCTGAATGTGGATAGCATTTTCCATCATGAGTCTTTTGGAGTCATCTTAGATCCTTGCATTGCTAAGAAGAGATTAGTCTATTGCATAATGTGACTGTTACTGTGTACAATGTTCTCCTAGTTCTGCTCATTTCACTCTGCATCAGTTCATATAAGTCTTTTCAGATTTTTCTAAGTCTGCCTGCTCACCATTTCTTATACCGTTTCCCCAGCTTATGGGCATTCCCTCAATTTCCAATTCTTGGCCACCACAAAAAGAGCTGCTATAAATATTTTTGTGTATGTGGGTCCTCTTCCCTTTTTTTATGATCTCTTTGGGATACAGCCCTAGAAGTGCTATTGCTGGGTCAAAGGGTATGGACATTTTTAAAGCCCTTTGGGCATAGTTCCAAATTGCTTTCCAAAATAGTTTTATCAGTTTACAACTCCACCAACAATGCATTAGTGCTCTGATTTTCCTATATCTTCTCCAGAATTTATCATTTTCCTGTTTTGTCATGTTAGTCAATCTGATAGGTGTGGTGTTGTTTTGATTTGCATTTCTCTAATCAATAGTGATTTAGAGCATTTTTTCATATGCCTATAGATAGCTTTAATTTCTTTATCTGAAAACTGCCTGTCCACCATATCCTTTGACCATTTCTCAACTGGGGAATGACTCCAAGGTTTTTTTTTTTTAAGGCAATTGGGGTTAAGTGACTTGCCCATGGTCACACAGCTAGTAAGTGTCTGAGGCCAGATTTGAACTTAGGTCCTCCTAACTCCAGAGCTGGTGCTCTATCCACTGCGCCATCTAGCTGCCCTGACTCCAGGATTCTTAAATTATAGAACTGTAATCACTGAAAACTGATGTGAATCGAGGCATGAAAATTGGTTGCTTTATTGTCATATACTAAAAGTGAATTTCCTCAAACTGAATCAATCAAAGTTTGATTGTTTTAGAGACAGCTACATATTCAGAGCTTTCAGTATCTTCCAAATCATAAATAGCATTACCGTTCAGAATATTGATAACATTCAGTATTCAGAAAAATGGAAGCATAAATTGTGTAGTAAGTGAGAGAAACAGGTAATATCTTTAATAGTCAGCATTAGAAATAGCAAAGCCCTTGGGGTTGGAGGTGAGTAGGTGGAAGAAAAGATGAAGCAACAAAATAACCTCAGGAGAGGAGAAATTCTTTTCTCCAAGTTTCAAAAATTCTTCCACCTTTCTTACCCCTGTCTTTTTGTTTGCAGGGGCGGGAAATCTTTGGCCTCGTGAGGCCACATATGATTTTTCTAGGTCCTCAAGTGAGGTCCTTTGACTGACTCCAAACTTCACAGAACAGACCTTTTGTTGTTCAGTGAGTTCGGATTCAGCCAAAGGGCTGCACTTGAGGACCTAGAGATTTAAACATCTTCCTCTTTTTTCCCTCCAATTTTATCTTTTTCCCCCCCTCAAGCTTTTATATAGATATTTATAGATTGATCTATCGATCAGTATATATGTACAAAGGAAATAGTCAAAATAATCTATTTCTATATAGCTAAATGGTCAAAACCTCTCATGACTTAGAATTTTTTGGATTGTACTTTTTGATAGCATTTGCATTTTAAAGAATGTTTCTTGTTGCACAAAATTTATAATATTGCAAGGGGATATCAATAAATATGATATAATCTGAGAAAGATGAAAGATATATTAGTAAAATTATCTTCAGTTAAATAGAAAATAAAAATGTCTAACTTCTTGTGATTTAAAAACCAACCAATGGGGCAGCTAGGAGGTGCAATAGATAGAGCACCAGCCCTGTATTCAGGAGGACTTGAGTTCAAATCTGGTCTCAGACCAGATACTTGATACTAGCTGTGTGACCCTGGGCAAGTCACTTAACCCCAATTGCCTCACACACACAAAAAAAAAGCACAAAAAAACCCAAATCCAAGTTAAATTTTTTTAAACCATGTTGTGTAACTTTTAACATATTTTCTTAAGAACGTGAATTGTTTCTATTGTCAGTAATATAAATCCATTGTTTCCAGTGCACTCACCCTTGAGGATGAAAAGAGAATGTTGGCAATTTTAATTAATGGATTTATAAAAATGGTAAGTGGTGGTAGTGGGGTGTGTGGAGTAGAAGTTTAGTTCATTTGAAAAGTGTCTATATATATATATATGTATATGTACACAGAAAAAATAATATAACTTTTCTGTTTTCTGGTAAAATTTAAAAGACATCTTCTCTATATTTTTGTTGGAATTATTTAGAAAATGCCTCAATCAATGTAAGTACCTTGTCATCATTTTGATTCTGTTTTGCAAATCTCCATATGTGCTAGTCATGCCTGTCTTTGTTGAGGTAACTTTTAGGCAGGAATTAAAGTAACTAGTTTACTTTGAAAATGGGATCATATTCAGCAGCTAGCTTGCTTATATGAAATAAAATATAGAATTGGAGGTTCATAATAGGTTAGATTCATGAACCCATGTTAGAAAATGCAGTGATGCATTTTGTTACCCCATTGATTTACATAGTCATTTATAATGTGGTGTTTGTAGTTTTGTATTGCTTTTTCTGAAAGTCAAGGAAACTAATGTAAAGGAACAAGAGGCATCCAAAGGAATTCTAACAGCCTTGTTGAGGACATGTATCTTACTTATTCCTCAATATGAAGCTTCTACTCTAGTTATACTATTTTCCTTAATTTCTATCATTGCTTAGTATGTATCTTTGTGCATGGTGCTACCCCATTCAGGACTGTCCTCTCTCTTTTCTTCCTATTTATAATATACTCACCCTTCAGGATTTGCCTTATTTCCCCTCTTTAATAAACCAGCTTCTCTGGGTACTTCAGCCCACATAGATAATAGTCTTTTCTTAATAAGTAAAGTCCCTAAACATAATTTAGCCTCTAATTATGGTGCCTCGTGTATTTTTTGTTTCATGTGTGTTATTCCTATTTCCCCAACTAGATTTTCAAGTTTCACAAAATACCTTAAATGGGAATGATGTCTTGTAATTTTGTATATCTCACACAGCCTAACACGATTAGCACTAACCATTCAATGATTGATTTTTATAGAGTGAAAAATTATTCAGAAGTCTTTTAGGAGCCACTCATATTCTCTTCATCCATTAATCAATTCCCTCCCTCAGTATTTTCCTTCTGCCCCTTTGCTCTAAAGTTCCCGTTGCCTTAAAGTATTTCTCTCACCTCCTTTCTTTCTAATTCTTACCCATCCTTTAAGGCTGCATTTGTCCCTATTTCTCTTGATTTATTATTCCAGATGACACTAGAATATGATAACTTTTTCCTCATTAGAACTCTTTGTACATATATTTTCTGTGCTTCATTTTGGCACTTACTTTTTCTCTCCCCAGTTTGATTGTGAGCTCCTTGGAGAAACAATGACAGCATTTTTATATTTCTTTATTAATCACAGTCCCTAGCATGATCTCTTGTACATTGTGGTAGATGGATAAATATTTGTTGATAAAGTATTATAATATTCTAACTTTTACATGTTCCACTTCAGTGGTTTCTGTTTCCCACTCACTCTGATGGAGGCAGGTACCAAGCCAATATTAACTCATTATTATGTCATCATATTATCTTATCAAAATCCATCAATCAGGAACTTTTGAATGAATAGAATAGCTTGTTACTTATCCTGATATTTCTTCTTGATCCTAGGTTTCATTTGGTCGTGACTTTGAGCAACAATTGAGTTTTTATGTGGAGACTAGGTCAATGTTTTGTAATCTGGAGCCTGTTCTTGTCCAGTTGATTCATGTAAGTGTATACACAGACCTGAATCTGGGTTTTTAATGGCCTGCCATTGCCATTGCTTTCTTGGTTAAGAAAAGCAGGGTTTACTAATGTTAACAAAATCATTGATTAATGTTTTATCTTAAAATTTAAATGCTACTATTTCAGTATATCTTCAGGTAAGGATACAGATGAACTTAAATTAAGTGGCTTATATTGATTTTAAATGTTAGGCCTGAAGCCCTTGTTAAAATATAAAAAAAAGATTATTATAACAGGTTTTAGCACCTCTATGAAAAGACTACATGTATTCTGTTTTATGTTTCACTTGTGTGTTTAAAGGGAAACAACTTTTTCTTTGTTCTCAGGGTTAACTTCAAGTCAAAAGATTTTGAACTAGTGATTCACCTAGTCTTGCTGCCTCATTTTATGTATCTTATAGTTGAAGACACTGGGACCTTGAGAAGTTAACAGTTACATAAGTAGTTAGTAGCAGAAGTGGAATGGGCCCCACATTTCCTGATTTCATATGGCTTATTGAATTTTCATAGCAGAAGTAGAAAATAAAAATAAGCAAGGAAATTGAGACATTTTTGAGAATTCCTCCGTCTAAATGTGGATTTAAAGTGAGCAAATTCAGGAATCAAATTTTAGTGCAGGCAGGCCTCTATGATTTTTGAAAAGGAGATTATTAATTTTTTTTGTTTCTAACAATAAATAATCCTGGTACATTTAAATAGCTTTGTGTGTTAATTTATTTATAGTTTAACTACTACTGCTGTACTCAAGAAATAGAAATTAGAATAAAAACCAAGTTTCTTAAAAGATCTATGTCTTTTTCATGCACAGTCCCCTCCTGTTCTACAATGTACATGGAAATGCCCATTTTATTTGGTATTTGCTAGGTTCAGAATAAAAAAAGACCTGTGACTAAGTTTTAGTAAATATTAAATGATGAACTGTCAGGGTGATAATGTGCTGCCAGACTTGAAGTACCTTTTAAACTCAGGTTTTTATTTTTTTTATTTTTATTTTTTAATTTTGAGCTTGGAGATAGTGTAGAGAACATCCATATTAGCAGGAATAGGAAAATATGAATTTCTGTTCCAATTATTTATTCTAGGTATAATATTTAATCTTACATTTCATGAGAATTGTTAATTTGATGAATTTTGTTTGTTTTGTCACTCTCACTGATGTGTTTTGATTAAGCTAAAGTTAAGTGTGCATATTTTTACTATTTTGACAGCCTAATGGTAGGTATTGCGTGGTGCATTGGAAATTTTCAGATGTCCCTCATATTAACCATATTTATATAATCTGAGCATAGAACTTTGGCCAGTGGTCTGTAGTCTCTTATAAAAGTTGTGTTTCACAGTTAATTTGGACAAGCTATAGAGCCACAATGATGATTAACTTTTTTTTAAAATTTACTTAAAAACCCTTTAGAGTGTGAACAAGTTGACGATGGAAACAAGAAGAGTAATGAAAGGAAATCACTCCAGAAAGACTGCTGCATTTGTCCGGGTATGTTCTGAAGAGAAAAGATTCTTGGATTCAGGACACTAATTGTTTATTTAGCTTTTTACTTAGTAAACAGTTATTAAAGTAAAAGAATAATAATGCAGTTGTTAAGTAGCAGGGTGGTCTAAATACTGATTTTTCAGATCACTCACAGATAAAGAAATTTTCTTTAATTTCTCCATTAGCAGTAATATTTGAAGGAGAATTGCAAGAAAGTTGGTGTCAATTATGTTAAAGGTCATCAAAAGATTAATTGTCTTATATGGTCTTATTGTAACTGATAAGAAACACTTCTTCATTTGGAAATTCAGATTTGAGGAGCTCTTAGAAACTTTCTTTTCTAAATGTGTATTTTCTGGAGCTTTGAGTAGGATCTAAATTCAAACTTGTAGGGGTGGATTTCAATGCATTTACCTGAAAAAAAAAATCTGTTTTTAAAAAGTAGAAATATCAAGCTACCACGTTGGCACCAAAGATGTGTCCTTTCTCTTTTAGGCCTGTGTTGCCTTCTGTTTCATTACAATTCCTTCCTTGACTGGTATCTTCACACGTCTTAATCTCTATCTGCATTCAGGTCAGGTCGCGTTGGCAAATCAGTGCCTTTCCCAAGGTAGGTTTATGTTTTTTCCTACTAAAGCAACTTTTTTTTTTGTTTCAGAAAGAACTCTGTAATGTATCTGTGGGTTCCTTGTTTTGGAAAAGACCAAGAGAAGTAAATAAATTATGAGTTTTAAATCCATTTTGTACGTAAGGGAAGCTTTGGCCACCTAAATATCTTCACTGTTTAAGATATTTTCCTGTAAGGACTTTATAAAATAATCTATCACAGACAGGCTGGGTAAGGTGGTGCAGACAGACTGAGTTTTGTGTGTCTAGTGATTCTATAAATTAAAAATATTTAATAGTTATATATCAAAAAGAGCCAGCCATCATTCCATATTTTAGAAACTTGAAAAAACACAAATGGACCCAAATCTTTCTGAAAACAGAACCACTTAGCTAAGTGTTATGGGTGAGAATGATGCTAGAGGGCCTTTGGGCAAGTTCTTTCTAGAAAAGATACAGATCCTATGGACTTTAGAACAATAATTGCATGTTTATTTAGAATATAGTTGAATGAGTTCAAGTTACTGGAAATCTTCTATAATATTGTACAATGACAATTGGCTATTTCACTGATGGCCCCAAGACTTTGAAATTTCTCAAGTACCATTTGAACCATTAAAGAAAGATTAAATAACTTTAAGTAGGCTTTTACTAAAAATGTATCCTTTTAATTTCAATTAATTGCTTATTGAGTGCTTCAAATATGCAAGATGCTGTGTTAAGCATAATATTTAGTTCTCTGAAAGCTGGTGATTCACGTATAAAACTGATAGTAACTCTTGTTAGCCTGAATATGCTGAATGTGATAAATGAACCCCATCTGTTTAGTAGTTATATAGTGTAGGGGATGGAGCCCTGAACTTGGAGTCAAGAAGACCTGAGTTAAAAACTTGGTTCAGTCACTTACCAGATATGTGACCTTGGGCAAGTAATTTTGCTTTGAGAGGATCAGTTTCCTGTAAAATGAAGAGGATAATGGCACTGACCTCACAGGATGTTGGGAGGATCAAATGAGGTAACATATGCAGAATGCTTTGCAGACCTTAAAGCGCTCTAGCTGTTCAGCTCTTGTTGTGGTGAGAAAGAACTTGAAACTAATGGGTGTGCCAATCAGAATGGTTGGACCAATTGTGGTATATGAGTAATGGAACACTATTTTGCTGTAAAAAATGGCTAAGGGTACAGTTTTAGAAAATCCTTAGAAGACTCGTATAAACTTATGTGAAGTGAAGTGAGTAGAACCAGAAGAGTTCATACAATAAAAACAATACTGTAAAAATGAATAATTTTGAAACACTTAAGAACTCTGATCAGTGCAATGACCAATCATGATTAAACATGCTACTCACCTGAAGACAGGTGATGGACTCAAGGTACAAATTGAGACATATATTTTGAACTTGAAAATTTGTTTTGACTGCATGTTTGTTAGAAGAATCTCCCCTCCCCCCCAAAAAAAAGGGAGAGAGAGAGAAAGAAAATAGATTTTTCTTAATGAAAAAATGAAATTAAAAAAGGTAAACCACTATTACAAGAAATCCTAGCTATTATTTCATATAAATAGGATTTGTTTGAATTGAAAATATATATTAAGATCACAGAAGTAAAAATGTGATTATTTATTGGCTGAATTTTATTTTGTATGCCAAAATTAGCCTTCTACCCTTTGCTGTTGTTTTTCCAACTAGGCAAGAAAGCGTTCACATTTCTTTTTATGCAGGAATATGGCCAAGAAAATATCTGTCCTTCTAATAAATGATTCTTTTAAACATGATTTTTAAAAATATCTTTTTTTTTTTAATATGCAGTTGGGGTTAAGTAACTTGCCCAGGGTCACACAGCTAGTAAGGGTCAATTGTTTGGTCTAATGCCAGATTTGAACTCAGGTCCTCCTGACTTCAGGGCTGGTGCTCTATTCATTGCGCCACCTAGCTGCCTCTTAAAAAATATCTTTTAAGATCATAAGATCATGGATTTAGAGCTATAAGAGACCTCAAAAGTCATCTACTCCAACCACCTGACTTTACAGACGAGGACCCCAAGGCCCATTGGCTTAGCCTGAGATCACCTAGAGTGGCAGAAGCTAGGATTGTAACTTTGATCCTCTGACCCCAAAATCAGTGTTCCTTCCACTGCACTTGTACTACCTCCCAAGCTAAAGCACAGGCTTGAAAACATACTCACCTTTCACCTCCATGTAGTTTTGATGTGTGATATGCATCAATTAGTTGACTTATTTTAGTATGAGGACTGACCAGAGGAAAGAGTGGATCTGAAAATGTGTGGTAGCTGTCAATGTAAAGTGTTGTCATTAACTTGCACAGAATTTTCCAAATGTACTGAAGAGTAATTGGGCATATAGCATCTTATTGTATTTATACTTAATAATTTATATGATTATTTTACTTTGGTATTTCAGTGTTGTGGTACTAAGCCTTAAAAGCATATTATTGTACTTAAAGCCACTCACAGTGGTTGTAAGCCAAAATAAATAATGCATTAAATTGCCGAGAATGTAGAGCAAAACATAAATGAAGTCACATAAATATGCTTCATTGTCAACCCCCCAAAAGCTCCAGCTGCATAGATAGTCCCAAAGTAGAATAATCTATTGGTAATTTATTCCCTTGTCTCATCTTCTTTTATCAGCCCGTGATTTTTACCAGAGCAGTCTTGTGACAAATGAACTCCCAGCTAGCCCAGTCCAGGAAGCTGACTAAGGATTAGAGCATGAGACCAGCAGTTCCATTTCTTTGTTAGAAAGTGGTGTTACCCGTGGCATAAGCCTGTTGGTATTTAGAACAAAGCTGGCTCATAGGCTCAAGTCTTTAGGACAAACAAAAGACTTGCTAAATCAGTTGTTTGGTTGCATGTATCTCGCTTGGAGACAGCTGAAATAGTTTTTAATCTAAGTCTGTTCTTAACTCTTTTTTTTGGTTTTGTTTGCTTTGTTCTGTACATGCTGAGAGGCACTGGCTGTGATGCGTTAGAAAGCTTGCTGGATTTAGAGGTTAAAGGACTTGAGTTTGATTCCCAGCTTTGGTCCTTATTACCTATGTGATCTTGGGCAGGCTACTTAACCCCACTGGGCCTTATTTTCTTTTCTCTTTAAAATGAAGGAATTGGGCTACATGTTCTGTAGGTCCCCCAAATCTGTAAGCAATCATGTTGAATTCCTGTGCCTTTTGCTCATCAGTGGCTCCTTCTCTTAGGTTCATGATTGGGTTTCACTAGAATCAGAATTCTTTGCCTTTTATAATTCCTTCACCTTTGTGAGTTCTGTTCTTGGATTACTTTCAGACTATAAAAATAGAGCAAAGAGGTCTCTGCTCTTTTGGCATTTCTTTGTTTCAGATCATGGTTCTGACACTATAGATTCAAAAGGACCTTCTAGAAGCTCAAAGGATAATCTTTCAGAATTAGGCCTGAGTTCTTAGCCTTTGCTGTGGCACTAGCTAGCTTTGTGTCCTTAGGAAATTTCTTGTTATCTTTGGGCTTCGTTTTCTTCATCTGAAAAATGAAGTGAGTTATACTTTATCAGAATTGGCATCTGTTTAAGGGAGAACAGCCTTTTTTAATATTAGACTATAATTTTTTATATGTGTTATCTTTTATCTATCTTTTTTAGTTAATAAGAAATCTTGTATCAGCCTTATCTGTTCTGATTTTTATTATTTTAACTTATATAAGCAAACACAATAGAAAGATAAAAGATTTATATATAGTCTCCAGAAAGCTCTTGTCATAATGTACATATGTAGCCTAGGAAGTGGAGACAAGGCCCAGAAGAGTTGCTATATAGTCTTCTTCTAGTAGCATATTAGTGTTAGGTAAATTGTCAGAGGCTTTTATGGTTCTGAAGTAAATTTCAGATATTTCTTTGTACACGTGCAAAACCTTCAGGTTTGCATAGTAGGGTAAATGTTTATTTTAAAATTAAATTTTTTTCAATTGAACTTGGATAAGAAGACCTACTGGGTTTTTTTGAGCTTGTGCTAAAATAGAGCAGAAGAGTATGTTTATGCACACATGAGTGTGTCTATATGTGTGTGTGTGTACATGTATATGTATATATGTGTGTATGTATATGTGTTTGTGTGTCTGTGTGTACATGTGTGTATATATGTGCGTGTATGTATACATACACACAGAAGTGTTACAAAAAGCAGCTATAGCAGGACATGATTTACTGATTCTCCTGAGTCCAGTAGGAGTAGTTTAGCTAAAGAATACATACCAGAGTCTGCTGTAGATTTGGGGAAGTTATTTTTACAGGAAAAAATAAAGTGGATCCTAAAAAACAAAAATGAATTATATTCAGATATTTTCCTAAGTGTACAGGAATGTTAATCCAAGCTATTATATTAGTTTGATCTTAAGGAAACACAATGGAATTGTTTTATATTGCAATTAGATAGATAGATAGATAGATAGATAGATAGATAGATAGATAGATAGATAGATAAATAGATATAGATATAGATATATGTGCAGTTATACTACTGGCAGGCTCTAAGGTAGAAAAATGGAGATAAGAGAGAACAGAATTTTATATTCTACTGAAAAGTAGAGCTGGAGGGTAAACATTTTAAGTGAAATGGGAGAAATGTCTTTATTTACATAATAGATCTTTGATTTATATTCTTAGTGCCATGTTAATTATGTTTGCTGTATGCTCTCTTACATATATTTATTAGATGTGGCCATTGTTAAAAGTCTTTAAACCTCCTTGCCTATATGATGAAGGGATGGAAACATAATAAGCTGTCTGCAACCATGGGTGCCCACATATCTCTCTAGCATAACAAATGAGACAAGAGGGTGAAGGTGAGTTGCCAGCTTAAGGTCATAGGTTAAGGTTTAGAATTGGAAGAGACTCTTATAGGTTGTCCAGCTGAACTTCTTCATTTTGCAGGTGAGGAAACTGAGACTCAGAAATAGGAAGTGATTTGCCTGAACTGGGATTTGAACTTAAGCCCTCAGACTCCAAATCACATTCTCTTTTCCCTCCTATGTGCAAGCCAACAGTTCTGGAGCTAGGTCAAAAGAGAAGCAGCTTCCACTCACATGTGTGTCCTTTTAATGTTTTTACTGCAAAACTGCTTAATAGGCTGCAACATTTTCGTGTAGAACTAAAACACAACTAAGCTGTTATAATAAGTCAAGGATAAATGTAGGAATTGAGCTCCAGATTTGGTGCTAAGGGTGTGATGGAAAGTGTAAACTCAGCTCCTTCTTGGCCATTTTTCAGTGTTTTGTTTTCCCAGATGATTATCAGCTCTTAGATTGCAATGCTTGCTATCCTTTATTTAGAAGCGCAAGAGGAGAAGGGAGGGGGAGACAGGTGTAAAAATAGCATTACAATATAAGCTTCAATGTAGTCCACTTTAGGACACAGGTGAAATCCTGTCTTTTTTTTTTTTTGTAAAGAATGGACACAAAGTAGCATTTCTTTTTTTTGTTTGTTTGTTTTAGCGGTGGGGTTAAGTGACTTGCCCAGGGCCACACAGCTAGTAAGCATTATGTGTCTGAGGCCGGATTTGAACTCAGGTCCTCCTGAATCCACGGCCGGTGCTTTATCCATTGCACTACCTAACTGCCTTCTATGAAGTAGCATTTTGGATAGAGATTAGCAACTTGATTTCAGGGTCACCCAATTGATTGCTCAATGACTTAAGCACCCAGACTCACAGTGATCTTTCTTCTCTGAACTCTTACAGCACACATTATACATACTAGTCATTTGGTATGTAGGATATACCATTCTGGACTCTTTGGCTTCTCCCAGCTTAACCACATCCATGTAAAATCAGTAGGGATAAATGCACTTTGGTGTATGAGTGAGATTTTTCTTTTTCAGAGATACTTATGAGTGGGAGGTTTGTTTGCTGGAATTAAGAGCAAACAATCAGTCCTTCCTACTTATATGTCTTGTTTCTGTAGGTAAATTTGTAAACCCCTAAAGATCAGAAATAAGGTCTTGTACTTTGTACCCTCACAGAATCTGGCACAGTGCCTTGAACATAGATGTACTATTATTTGGTTGGTTTCTTGGAATAGTCACCATAAATAGTCAGTAGCTAAACTTTTTGGTATAAAGGGATTAGATTGATACGGTATAAATTGTGGAAGATGAGCTTGTAAGAATCATAGCTGCACAGGGACTATACTATCTTTTGACTCTTTTTGTATCTCCAGGGCTTAAGTGCCTGGCGCATAGTAGGCACTTAATGTTTTTTGAATAATTGATTTGAAGGGACTAGGGATGTTTAACGTGAAAAAAAGAAGAGGGATAGAGAAAGGATAACTGGTGTTCTAGTATCTAAAGGTCTCTCTTGTAGAAAAGGAATTTTATTTGTTCTTCTCAACCCCAGAGAAAATGATTTCATTTAGATGATGTAAGGCAAAATTCCAGCTGTCCCTTGCAACACTGAAATTCTGGACTAACTCAAGTAAAAGACTGTTATGTCTCTACAATACAGTCTTTTCCAAGAAAAGAAAAAAGTAACATGGCACCATTATTAGTAGATATTCAGAATGTTCTGTGAGACAAATCTTTTAGGAATATTAATTTTTCTTTAAGGAACAAAGGGTAGGAAGAAAGCCCTGCTTCAGAATGTAGATTTTAGCATACATATTCTTCTTGTTAAATGCGGGCTTTATTCCCAGTAAATTAAATGTTTGTTGTTGAAGATGCTTTTCTTGTAATGGATAGGATTCCAGTTTTAATTTATGATGCTATAGACAAGTATAATTTCTCTTTGCATCGTTGGAAATCATTTCTGAATGGAATTATACTTGGACCATGAAAGTCTTTGATCAGTATTCTAAAATGTCAGTTGTCAGGTTCATGTTTTGATTATTTTGTTGTTCTTATAGCCTGTGCTTTGGGAATTGTAGAAGGGAGAAGAGCTCTTTCTAAAATATGCCCACAATCATTATCTTCCTCCTAAATTCTGAAGGGTAGTGTGGTTAGCAGATGGAGAGTTGGCCTTTCCTTCAGGGCTCAAGAAGACTTGGATTCTGTGACCATGAGCAAGTCCCTTAGCTTCTTGGTGCCCCAGACTTCTCTTTAGAGACTAATATGCTACAGAGACCATTGGTATTGGTGGATGGGGTTTCGCAAAAACACAGACACAAACTCACCCCAAAACATTCTTCTAGGAAGATTTCAACTTGTCTTGAGTTCTATAGATGATAGAAACACAGTTTTAGAGATGTATGGAACCTTAGAAATCAAGTCCAAATTCCTCATATGTAGGTAGCAGAGTCAGGATCCAAAACCAGATGTTATGTTGCTTTGTCTGTTGTTTCATGCTGCCTGCCTGCTATGTATCCTAAATGTTTCCTTAGAAAAATACTTTAGTAAAATAGGAAGCTTCCAAAGCAGATTTTATAGTAAGGGTCTGAACTGAATATTCAAAAAACTGCAGTGACCACCTCATTGAATGTACGGTATGTTCAATAAAGTCACCGTGGTGCTCCAGGAAGCTCATTCCAGTACATCCACCTCTGTGGAATTCAGAGTTTCTGTTGGACCTAACATTGCATTGTTTGGGTTTTTTTGCATGAATTCATATTTCTCACAACATGGTTCACAAACCGTTACATAAATACAATATGTTCTATAGTTTGTAGAATGCTAATACATGACCTTTTTTGTTATTGCAGCTGATGCTTTCTTCAGAGCTGCAGTAAGCCTTGTTCCTGAAGTTCCAAAGATGATTAATATAGATGGAAAGATGCGGCCATCTGAATCATTCCTTCTGGAGTTCCTCTGCAATTTATTTTCTACTTTATTAATAGTTCCGGTATGTAACAATGGCATAATTATAAGTAGCAGTTTTTTTCTTCTTGCCCTAAGAATGTCAGGAAATTAGACCTTAAATCTTCCAATGGTCAGATTTTATAATTTCAAATAACTTTGCTTTTTATTGATGTAGTACAGTGTATCTCCTTTCAAACTTTTTTGGCTTTTCCAAGGTTTAGTTTTTTTTGTTTTTTGTGTGTGCCTTCCTCTTCGCCTGATTATCTATTTGTATAATGGGAGGAAAAGCAGCCCTAAGGCAGGATGTTCCTTGAAGTTATTGCTTGATTAAATAATTTAAATGCATTAGAGATTTTCTTATGTTAATTGGCTAAATGGGAAGGAAGCAATGGTAGGAAATTCAAACTCTTATACTTAAACTCTATACTTAACTACCTTGTGGTTCTCCAGTAACTCATGCCCTCCTTTGAGAACTTTGTACTGCCCTTTACTAACTAGGGAAGTTGATCTAGAAACGGCCAGCAGCAGGGGAAAACTAGTATTGCTAGAAGCAATGTGAGTACCTTTCAGCCAGCTGTACAAACCGAAGAGGGATGTGAGTTTCTTTGCCCCATCTTATAGTGAGGCAGTTGGGGTTAAGTAACTTGCCCAGAGTCACACAACTAGTGAGTGTTATGTGTCTGAGGACAGATTTGAACTCAGGTCCTCCTGACTCCACGGCCGGTGTTCTCTCCACTGCGCCACCTAGCTGCCTGTCTTTGCCTCATTTTAAAAGATGGGTGATAAATAAAAGAATAGCAAATAGGAAGACAAAAATGAGTCACATTTGTTATAAATAGAATTCTCATTGCCTTTCATATTGCAGCTTTTGAGAATGAGTTTGATAAGCCTCAGTCCTGTTTCATTTATTTAAAACCAGGTGGAGGTTCTTTCTGACTAGATAGAGGGCCTAACATGTTTTTACTTTTACTTAAAATTTCAGTGTTAAGTATTCTCATGGGACATCAATGGCCCTTTCTCCATTGAAGCTTTTAAAGTAGTCATAATTAGTGACTATTTTAGTCAGCATCTAAATGGACTCTTAGATAACCAATACTATTATTCATTCAGCTTATTTAATTGATTAGTTGATAGAACAATAATTTCTAGACTTTAATGGCTTTATCCAGAGGACTGAAAATATTCCACAGACATTTCCACTGATACTAAAAACACCTCTGAAGGTTAAGGAAGAACAGATTGCTCTAGTTTCCACATCTTTGCCTCATCCTTGACTCTATACCCAGCCAGATTCTCTGACATGGGATTTTAAATTTTAGTATCCATAGAACATCAAATGGTTAGTCAGCTCTTATTGCCTTCGTCTTTACCTTTTGCTTCTCTTCCTTCATTTGGTGTTGGGCCAAAAAAGGAAGAATCTTAGTTTTCTGAGCAAACTGAAAGAATCACCTAAAGGAAGCATTTGTTCTTAGTTTGTTGTTTATGTTTTGAAAGTTCTCTTAACATAAAAGAAATGCAGAATTTAAATCTGCCATTAGTGATAACATTTTTGACTTGGAGACTTACCTATTGTAGGTGGTTTCTGGGATTTCATATGATAAGAGAATATTCATCTTTTTTTATTGTTAGTACAAATTAGTGGGTTTTTAACAAAAACTTTTATGTTCATGTAAAATTTGTATGTAATCTTGGGATTTTAGCCATTAAATTGACACCTACTTTTTTTTGCTTCTCAGCACTGCTAATGAGGGTTTAAAAGTGATGAGTAATTTGATCTCTGTATTATTTAACTTGGCTTACTTGTGTGATTTTTTTTAAGTAAAGCAATTTGGAATTTGATTTCTTTACTGTTGCTATAACTAAGGTGCCTAAGCTATTGAATATTTTCCCTGAAGTTGTGTGTTTATATAATTGTGGTTTCCCTTTAGGATCATCCAGAACAAGGAGTCCTATTTCTTGTTCGAGGTTTACTAAATGTGATCCAGGACTACACTTGGGAAGACACTAGTGACGACAAAATTCGTATCTACACCAACGTTTTACATCTCCTCTCTGCAATGAGCCAAGAGACTTATCTCTACCACGTAGACAAAGGTAGCAGTGTGTTCTTCTTTTTCACTAATAAATATTCCAGAGTGTGCATGCATTACCCACCTACCTTAGTGAATTTCATGAAAGTCATAAATGAAAATATTTACAGTAGATGGCTTTTGAACTAATGTTTTGATATAGCCTTTATAGCCTAAGGACTTTCCTCTATTTAAATACCTCCTGGGTAACTGTATTAGATACCTTTTTTTTACATAAATTCTGCCAATGCTAGTGCTTCATGGATATGGATGACCAGAACATCGCATAATCTATGAGCATAGTGGTTTATGAAGGTGCTCCCAGGCTTGGAAATTTATTCAGAGAAACTTGCTTAAATGACTAGCAGCATTGTGGCATTCTCAGATTGGTATTTTTTAAAAATCTCACAGAGGAGTTGAGTAATGGTGGTAAACAGAATTTATTGGTATTGATTAACAGACTGTGGTACAGTCGAGATAAGATTTGGAAAATGTAGCTGACGCAGACTTTTGAGCGTTAGGTAATAACCTAGAAGAGTAAAAAAACTGTAGGTAATTGAATTTTTTCTTTTAAAACATATTCAAGTGAAGTCTGAGAACTTTTAGAATACATTGTAGCCTCAGATTTTCAGTAGTAGAGGTTGTACGGGTGGAGTTGATAGGGAAGGAGTCCAGTTTTTTAGATGTTTAAAATTAGAGAAACTTCTTTCTTAACACAGCTGTGTTTGAATTGGATGAGAAATTGTGCCTTGACAAGTCTTGTAGCCAGAGAAGTTCCCAAGGAGGAGCAAAAGATTGCATGAATTGGATGAGTTCCAGTTTTCTGACTGCTTATTTTATCTTCGTGCTGTGGCAGTTGTATAGTCTTGATACTGATTAAATCTTCAGAAGAAAAGGGTTAAATAATTATTCTGTTTATAGCTAATTACCTTACAAGCTTTATTTCAAGATTCATTAGGAGAGGCCCAAAGTTACCTTTAGCATTGTTAAAATAGCCTTGAGTTTCCCAACCCATATTCTAATATGTGTGTGTGTGTGTGTGTGTGTGTGTGTGTGTGTGTGTGTATACATATATATATATACATATATATATATATGTATACACACACACACACACATACATACACATAGGACTGCTAAGCACCTACTAGCATTCTCTATACTATGATTTTGACAACCTTGTCTATAACTTTCTTGAGAAGTTTTCTTTTTTCTTGTCTGGTGTGATGACAGCACAAAAGAACATAATAACTGGCAAAAGCCAAGAGGAATTTTCAGGCTTTAAATGTCAGGTCCATGTATTACATAAATTGTGACAGCAAAAATGTCTTGTACTAGGGAAAGGTTAAATAAAATCCATGGCTTCAAGATGAAAGAACAGAATGCTATTATGCAACTGAAGTAATTGGTTGTCCTTCTGAAAATTTATACTCTGAGACTACAGTGGTTTATACAGGAGACATTTTGGATGATCAGTTTGGGATAACTCACGGAAATGATGAAATTAAAAGCTCTCTGATATTAATGTTTCAATGAGGTTTGAAAAAAAGGCTCAAGCAAACTTTAAAAAATTCTGTCTTGGGGCAGCTAGGTGGCGTAGTGGATAGAGCACCGGCCCTGAAGTCAGGAGGACCTGAGTTCAAATGCGGCCTCAGACCAAAGACTTAATACTTACTAGCTGTGTGACCCTGGGCAAGTCACTTAACCCCAATTGCCTAAAAGCCCCCAAAAAAAATTCTGTCTTATTCAGTAGGGGTTCTAAAAAATAAAATGGTAGAACTGTCTTCAAATCTCATAATATCGAGTCTCCTACAGATGACCTCCTAATGTTTAAAGAAAAACCAAAGCCTTAATTTGTATTTTTTTGGAGAATGTTTTGCAAAAATATATATTGAGGCATTAAATAGACACAAATATGTCAATGCCCTCTGCTCTAAACATGTGAATGCAAAGAGGGTGGAATGAAGGAGCTTGTGGTTAAAGTTTGAGATTTCATTGAATTCTGAGTAGGCTGTGCTTCAGATGAGTTGACTCTAGTGCTAGTATTCCAAAAAGATCATATTCTGTGCTTTTTTCTCTTTCTACCTTCCTACCCTCACCTCCAAACCTGGGAGCCATGTTTCTTTGTAGCCTAGGATGAGTATGTATTTATATACCAGCTTCACAAATACCCATTTGTTCTCTTTATGTAATGTTTGAGAAGTCTCAAGTGTGTATAGGTATATGAAGTTTTGTTTTAATCAACGAGCATTTATTAAATGTCTACTATGTTCAAGCCACAGAACTAGATACTGGGAATGTAGATATAAAAATAAAATAGGGGCAGCTAGGTGATGCAGTGATAGAGCTCTGGCCTAGGAGTCAGGAGGACCTGAGTTCAAATGTGGCCTCAACCACTTTTTCAAGGCGCCTTGAAAAAGAGCAGTCTGACTAGTGGAAGGAAAACCAGGAGAGAGAAGTGTCATGAAACCAAGAGAAGAAAGAGTATCTGTGATGAGAGATGTCATCTTGCTACATTCATCAGCTTTATGAGTATGTATGATGGAGGTGGATGGTCAACAGAGTCAAGTGCAACTAATAGGGTTAGAAAAATGAATGGTAAGAAAAGACCAGCAGCTTTGCCAATCAAGAGGTCTGGTAAGTAGTAACATAGGAGAGTAGTTTCCATTAAGTGATGAGGTTGGAAACCGGATTTCAAAAATTTGAGGAAAGAAAATGGAATCAGCAAGTACAGAAAACTTTTTCAAGGAGTGGGGCCTTGAAGGAAGAGATACATAAGGGGGTAGAAGGATCTAGTGAGGGGTTCTTTTTGTTTTTGTTTTAAGGATAGCCATTTTTTTTTAGGCAGTTGTGTACTTTGAACATAACTGATGGAATGGATTTTTTTATTCTTCTTCATAAGCTACTGAGCAGATTCACTTTTTGTAGCATGGGTTTCATTACTAGCCAGTGGGAGGGTAAGTATAACACTGCAGGGTCTCTAGCTCAGTCTCTTAGATGATAAGATGTTTTCTTTGTGGTAGCCAGGTTCCCAGGCCCAACAGGAACTTGGTTATGCCATTTCCATTTTGTTTTCCAAATTTTCCCAACATCTGTTGATGCTGTTTTTCCTTCTGACTCCCTTTCCCTTGGAAAAAGATAAAAGTTTGCTCAGAATAGATTTCTCATGTTTCATTGTTTGTCCACTTAGTTGATTCCAACGACAGCCTCTATGGGGGAGACTCAAAATTTCTGGCTGAAAACAACAAACTTTGTGAGACCGTGATCACACAGATCCTAGAACACCTCAAAGCCCTGGGAAAAGATGAGGTATGTTGACTTGACTACCATTCATACTGTACTGCTGTGAGAGTATATGGCTTTCAAGGCATGAAATGGAATATTTCCAGATTGGGACAGGCTATTATGGTTTTTCTTTAGTCCTTAAAAGTTTTTATTATTGGGGTTTCCCCACCATGGCTTGTTATTCAACTGCAGAGCTACTTTTGCACATATGGTTAAGATGTTACATATGGTTGTTATTTATGATGGGCATAAACAGATCCACAAAGCCAGAATTGCCTTTTAATTAACTTATCCTCTTCCCATATAGCCTTACACTCACCAAGAACTTGTAAAATATATTTTTTATGCCAAATAGATCAGCTTTAGTGAATTCAGAACTTATCCTTGACGGGAGGCTTAGAGTCAGGTCTTTTTCACCTTGATGATAGTTGTTTCATTCTAGTGCTGTGCTGACCACAGTTTCCATTTTGGCAGACTTGGGCCAAATTTATAAATTATGGATGGACCCTTGGTCCTTATTTGAATTCTTGTTTGGATAGATAGATCAGTCAGATTTAATTCTCTCCGCCCTTTTCCCAGGTTTGACCTGTTTCATAAATTCAAAATGCAGCCAAGGTGTTAAGTGCCTTCTACTCTGTTAGGTAAAAGTAATAGATAGAGGGACTGAGAGTCAGCAAATGTGGTGTAATAGATAGAATGCTGGATTTGGAGTCAAAGACTTAGGTTCAAATCCTGCCTCTGATATATAATATCTGTGTGATTAGGGGCACAAGTCTCTTACCCTTTCTTAATCTGTTTCCCCATTATAAAATGGAATCATAGTATATGTGGTACCTACCTAATAGGGATTATTATGATGCATGTGACCATTTTTTTTTAAGCCCTTTGAATACTTTTTACTATGTAGCATACATAAATTCCAGTTGTTAATATTACCATCATGATAATATCATTATTACTTGTGACTCCTATGCTGCTTGGATTTCCTTCCACTAGAGCTTTTCTTTACTTGCCTATTCAAGTTCAGGCAAATGAGGATTATGAGCTTTGAGTACTTCTTTTTTCCCCAATTTTAAAATAAATTTTTATTGACACATTTTGGTTTTTAGTTATTACCATAGTTTACCCCACTGTCTCTCTTCTGCCACTCCCAGAGAACCATATCATATAACAACTTTGAGTATTTCTTAATGCTTTTTCACTCTGACATAATAAAGAGGATGGTCTGTCTTTTTTATTTGTTCTTGTCAATATTTCAGTTGAATTTGTGACAGTAACTCCTAGTAATATAGTGTTTTGATATTTACTTTCCTCACAATGAGTCTCTGAAGTAATTAGGTTATATGAGTCTTAAATATGTCCATTTAACAAATGTGGACATTAAAGCTCTTACAAATATAAATTGGCCTTTTGAAAAACAAAATCCCTTTGCTCTGACCCTTCCCAGCTTTTAAATTCATTTCCAGCTAACTGCTGTTTGTTTCTCTCACCAAAAGAACTTGTCAGCTTTTCTTCAGTTTCCCTTCTCACAAGTTCCTCCTGTTTGAATCCCAGTGTTTCTGTTGGGGGCCTTTTCATACACAGCTACTGCTGCTGCTCTGCTCCAACCTTGGCAGGATCTCTTTAGGGGAAGAATAAGCTTAGACTGATTTGAGCCTTTTTAGGCTCTGCAATGCACATTTATAAAGTGTGTATCTTTTTTTAAAAATGGCATCTTCTTCTCCCCCCCATCCCAAGAAATTATTTTTTTAATATAAACTCTTTGAAGAGGAAAAGGTAATGTAAGTTAGTACTAGAGTGAGAGTAGACTTTTTTGGGAGTAACTCTATTCCCTGTGCTTTCTTTGTTCACTGAATACTAGGTGCTATTCTAAGAATTATAGATCTAGAGCTGGAAGAATGACCATCTAAGATATCCAGCCTCCTAATCTTACAAATAAGGAAACTGAAGCTGAGAGAGATTAAATGACTTGCCTCAAAGTCATACAAGAAGCACATATCAGAGGTGTGGTTTGAACTCAAGTCCTTGACTCCCTTTCCCCTGTACTACACTGCTTCTCTGTGCAAAAATTCTATATTTACAGTTTAACAAGAGCAAAGACACTGAAATCTCTCAACTCTATTCTCTTGAAACTCCACGTAGCTTGGACTTGGGAAGCGTGGCTTGCCACTTCACATTCTTTATTGGGGAATCTTATTAGGTCACCTGTCAGTCCTAGGGACTCTGTTCAATATCAGTTTAGAAAAAAGTGGGGGAACTCATCATGTCAATTAACATTGGCATTACAATAGGAATAACAATTCTTTTTTACAAATTAGTGCTGCAGCAGAAATGCTAAAGAAAGAAAAGTCAAAATTTCCTCTCCTCTTGATTATGGATTTGGTAGTTTTTGGTCCAAAGGAGAATCTTATAATTTTGAGGAAAGAGTTGGGGACACTTGTCCAAATTTCCTCCCAATGTGTTAATTCTCTCTCTGTCATCTCTAAATGATAGTTTTTCTGATGCTGCTTCAGTAATCTTGGTTACAGTGAATTATGCCATTATGGGGATACTATGTGGTATGGTAAAATGACCACTGGGAGGGGAGTTGGGAGACCCAGGTTGAGTTTTGCCTTTTGCTGCTAATGTTGTATGGTTTTAGGTAAGTGTTTAATCTAAAATGTGGGAATTAGATTAAATGCATTTGAAGATCCTTTCCAACTCTAAACCTCTCAGCCACAATATCCTCATCTGTAAAATGAGGAGGCTGAACTGAGTGACCTTTTTAGTTTCTTCCAATAGACCTTACATTTTGTAAATCCTTGTAATACCTTAGATTCTTCTACTAATTTTTAGGTTTTATTCCTGTGAAAAATTATGTGAGTCATAGCCCTTTTACTTACTAAGCCCATCAGGTTTAGTCTCACCTTCTGCTTTGGAGGCCAGCTAGGGAAGTGATGTAATTTGGGTGAAAGGCATCTAAAATAAATGTCCAGGAATTGTTTGAAAATATACTTCACCCAGTTGCCAACAGCTTTCTCTTTAATCAAGATTACTGTTGGTGATGTAAACTAATAAGAACCTAGTTCTTGACCCTAGAACATCAGTCTAAATATAAATCCTAAGCAGCATATATGTAATCATGATAACGTCTTTTGGGGATGAAGACAGGTAACTCAACTTGGAATGTGCCATGATCACCATTTAAAAATAAGTTCTAGGGGCAGCTAAGTGGCACAGTGGATAGAGCACGGACCTTGGAGTCAGGAGGACCTGAGTTCAAACGTGGCCTCAGACGCATAACTTACTAGCTGTGTGACCCCGGACAAGTAACTTAACCCCATTGCCTAGCCAAAAAAAACAAAAAACAAAAAACAATAAAAATAAGTTCTAGTGAACTTTGGAAGTATTTTCTGGGAACATTTTTGATTTTTATAGAATAACAGGTGTTCCCATCTGAAATGACTGAACATGTGATATTTATGTTTCAGCTAAGATGTGGATTGATTTGAAACTCAACATTAATATCTTTTCAGAAAGGGCACTATGAAAATCTGTACAAACCACCTCCCTGCAGTAACTCAGCAAGCATGAGACCCATTGCTCATCCACTCTAGAAGGACAGAAATAATGGTGTCAGATTTCCCCCTGCACAGCAGGAAGTGTGATGCTTACAGCTTTGGAGAGCAGCCTTAATGGGGAACTTGATGGTTCCAAGTGACTCTTCTGCTTTTGACTTGAATGCTGTGGCGACCCTGCTTCACAATGAATAAAAATGTGTTTTAAAGTCATCTCAAGGGGATCATGGTGCTTTAATGAAGAACTTTATGCAGTTGTTTGGGTTGAGGTGAAGCTGGGAACCAATCCAGATTCTTAATGCTTCCTGCAAGTGACAATTCTCGTAGGAGAATTAAAAGAAACATAATTTTCTATTTAAAGCCTCCTAGGAGGGATTTTGAAAACTTGGTACTGTACTGTTATAATGCTCTTTAGTGCCTTTCTGTTCTTTTAAAATTGGTCAACATGGTTTTTTGTTACAGGAACAAATCCAATGATATTGTTTTAAATTAATTGTAGCATTTAAAACACAATATAGTTATTCAAAAGAGAAATATAGTGGGACAGCCAAGTGGTAGTTATATTCCTTGTTCTGATTTTAACAGTATTTTCTACTTCAATGAATTTTAATTTAAAAGGGCTCTCTGTCTTTTACTTGGCTTTACTTTGAAATTTTCTTTTAGTGGTGTCCTTTTAGATCAAAGTAGAGAATGGTGTCATCTTGTTACATGGATAGTTGAATGTTGGCCACTTCAACTGAAGAATGCTGGATCTTCAGAAATTGTAATTTTTGCTTAATTAACACACTAGCAGGTAAAATGGGGATCTTGCCTCTACCCTATAGTAGAATCACCTTCATTTCTTTTGTTTTCTGGGAGCTTGGATATTGGCAAAAATTACCTCTATCTCAGTTTGATGTGGTCAATATGCATTTGATTAAGCTGACAGAGGTTATTTACCTTTCTTTCTGCTTAAGTGAGGGTATCATCTGGATTTACTCAGACCAAAGTTGAATAAAATTTGTTAATGTAGTGAATCAGACATTATTATGCAGCTGCTTTTTAAATAGCTATGTTACTTGTTTCTTTGTGGCAAAAGTAGAACTTTTGACTTCTATCTGGGTGGGGATTTTCCTTTACAAATGAATAAACAGAAATTTATTCTCCTTCTCCACCTCCCCCCCCAAAAAAAAACACTCTAGAAAAGAGGGAAAACAAAATTCCAGATATCAACTATGCTATATTAAATTAAGCTAGGTCTGGACCATCAGTGATAAACAACATAACATTTGGAATCGAGGGCCTAGCAGATTTTTGACCTGAATAATATGGAACAGAAAAAATTAGGACTGTATATGAAACCTAAAATTTCTAAAGCACAGTGCTTGGTACACAGTAAGCACTTAATAAATGCTACATATAGCTTTTTTGTTTTCCAAATTTCATAGGTAGTTCCAACACTACCCTGCTTTTCTATGTCTTTCTGAG